AGGGTCACGCCAAGGCTCTTCGCACTCTGGGAGGAGGACACAACGGAGTTGTCAACCGTGATGGCGAGATCATGGAACGGGCAGTCCTTCCCCGGGAGGAAGAGCAGCTCCGTCTTGCCAGGGTTCAGCTTGAGGTGGTGATCCGTCATCCATACTGATATGTCTGCCAGACATGCAGAGATGCGATTCGCCACCTGGTTATCAGAAGGGGGAAATGTTAGGACCTGATCTGGTTATGCCAAATGGCTGTGGGCTACATTAGTTCATTTAGCAGACAAGATTTCCTTAGAATTCCGTGGCATTATTTGATATTATTTCATAGTATGAAGAAGGATATTTTCTCCAAACGATTTGAGGGAGTGCGCACATGCGGCTATTCTGTGTTGAGTTGTTAACAAAGAAATAGGTACTCCTATATGCTTAATTTAGAGCTATGAATGTAACTTTAGTTGTTCTACAAATGTTGGGATATATGTTTTGATTTTTAAAACATTGTAAGGCTGCACGATGCAACTCTAATGATTATTTGAAAAAAGTCACTTGAAAAGCATGAGCTCTGCTTAGTTTTTTTGTGCAGGCTGTACACACTTTATCAGTCTCTCATTCACAATTTGACAAGCACTTGATAATGCCTCAAATTTCACGGCGGCATCCCCTTTGTGTGGCCATAATGTACCCTAAAAAAATCAATGCCTTTTGCAGCTAGTGGCAGTTCTGCCCTTGGCCCGGAGTGCAGCGTTGTGCCCTTCTCCCTGAGTTCTGCACGCTCCGAAGCACCTCTCACTCAGATGGCTCTCCATCACGTGATCGGGCTACAAGTGAAGACAGACACATCAGGGACGCAACTGCACGCGTCCTTTTCGAATTCCGAGGTGCATATTGTCCACATTTACTTTTGTCAGCCAACAAGATGAGTAGGCCTAACGAACAGCAATAACACTAGCCTATGTCAATCTACTATCCCCCATAGTACAAAAGTTTACCTATTCTATTCTGTGCGAGAAATAAATATTCCAAACATAGCCTGGGACAGTTGTGGGATGCGATAGATCCCAAATTAATACAACCACTAGCATAAAAAAAACATTTTTTACGCAATGTGTCTGACGCAACAGATCAGAACGTTTAGCTTTAAATGTTTATTAACTATTAGGCTATCTCTTAACATTATAAGCGCAGCAATGCGCACATGGCAGTAGGCTATAAGCATGAATGTTCCATTAGTGGGAAAACACCATTATCAGAAGTGACCACAAATGTGATTGTGCATGTAATGCTTTTATTATAAAGGTGCATTTTTTATTATCTTCCCCAAACTTGAAACTCACGCGCTGCTTATGTATGCCAGTTAGGCTCTACACCCCTTGTAAAGCGGATTTTATGTGCTTAATTTTAAGAAGTTATTTGGCCACTTTAGTTGTGATACAAACCTTATCAAAACACATAGGCCTATGGGCTAGGCTACATGAGGTGTGTGACTATGATTAGAAAAAGTCGCCAAAAAAAGGCATTGTTTCTTGCCTTATGCTGGGCATCATTCACAAGTGATAATATATAATTCACAAGTGATAGGCTAATATTGTCACCCATCAGACTATTTTTCATTTAATCTTGTCTTTACATATACTAAATAATGTATGTGTGAAATTTGTTTTGATTGAGAATGGACCATTATCATGCACCTGTCTTGAAACAGGAGCAGCGGGAAAAAATACATGTTATCTATGCACTTAAATAGCGAATGGAGGACACTTTTCCCGTGGTTCATTTTCATGCCAGCCAGGTAGGCTATACTCCTGTTGTAAAGATAAGCAATGTGCTTAATATTAGGAAAGTTGAGAAATAAATATAGTAGGCCTAGCCTATAGAAAGCTGATGGGATCCTCCTCTTTTTAATAGAGGCCATCACTCTGTTTTTTCACGCAATTGCATAGCCTATAGAAATGTTGGGCAACATGAGCTCATGGGCTCTCATGGAGTGTTTGATTAGATTTTCGATTGCATTTGCATTGATGTCAGAGTGATAAGAGGGACAAGAGTGCTGAGTACCAGGTAGTTAGCACGTTTGGTAAGCTACTAATGACCATCAGCAGCATCAGAGCTTGGAGAAGCCTAATTACCGTGACTAAATGGTCACGTGGAATTTGACTGCCTTCATGACTCGTGAACGCCGGTGTGGCTGTAATACCATCACCGCAACAGCCCTAGTGTCCGCATACTTTTGGTAATGTAGTGTATATCAGACCGTATACCACGGGTATGACAAAACATTTATTTTTACTGCTCTAATTTCGTTGGCAACCAGTTTCTAATATAAATAAGGCACCTCAGGGGTTTGTGGTATATGGCCAATATACCATGGCTAAGGGCTGTATCCAGGCACTCCGCATTGCATTGTGCTTAAGAACAGTCCTTAGCCATGGTACATTGGCCATATACCACACACCCTCTGGCCTTATTGCTTAATTATATTTGCTTGGCTTCCCCCTGAGTCAGAGAGAAACAAAGGCACAGTGCTACTGAAGTCCTACCGTATAAGGGTGTGCACAGACTGCACACACACTGGTGCACGTACACACACATACATACACACAAACATACACACACACACTTTCACGCATCCATACACACCCTTGATCTCACCAAGTTGGAATGCATTGCATACACACATTTAAATACACAAGACATTGCAGATATAATCTTGGCGGAAAACATTTCTGAGTGACTCGAAGAGTGAAGCAGGATATGCTAACTCATGGTGTAGACTGTGAAGTGTGTGTGTCCTCAGAATCCAGGATTCTGGAGAAATGCTTCAGTCACGTGTTTGTTTCCATCTAGTGGAAAGCCTTCCCTTATAGCAGCAAAGGGGGGACCAACTCCATATTAATGAACATGGTTTCCGATGAGCATGTGTCCACATACTTTTGTCCATGTAGTGTACATACGCACACGCACACACACACACACACACACACACACACACACACACACACACACACACACACACACACACACACACACACACACACAAACAAATACGATTTGATTTGATTTTCTCTTTTTAATGCAACTGTGACTGTGAGTGTCATTCCAGTGTATCTCATTTGTTGTGTTATGCCATTGCAAATAATATATGACTATGGCCAGTGACGGTGTCTTGTGAAAGCCCTGGTGTTAATTGACAATGGTTGACTAAATCACTCTGTGGTTTGAAATTCTCTTCTCGGGGACCACCAGCTGTTCCAGAGGTAGCTCACTTGATTCAACTTGTCAATTAATGCAATAGTAATACCTATGGAATTTTAACAATATAATATGGCCAGAATAAAAAACCCTGTATGGTTCTTTAAAAGGATCTACAAAGAACATTTCAGATTGGGAAAGGTTCTTTATAGCAGGGGTTCCCAAAGTTTTTCACTCAGGCGCCCCTTCCAGCATTGGGGAACATCGCGCCACATCTATTTCTATGGGCACAAGCCCTCTTCCATCCTCTCACTCTGTCCTTGGATTATCTCTTTTGTTATTCCCCACGTTATCTCTCCTCCATCTTTCCCTCCTCCTACCTTCCTTTCAGTCTGTCTGCCCCCTGATTAATTCCTCCACTTCTATCTACATCAATCTCGCCGTCTTTCTCACCCTCTGTCAATCCTCCTCTTCTTTGACCTGTCTGTCCTGTATTATTTTATCCCTCCATCACCCTCTCCATCTCTCTCTGTCGGCCACTTGAAAACAGAACATCTGCCCTCGAAAAGCTGAATCATAATACACTTCAGTCACAGTTATTCTCTGTTGTTATTCAGAGAACGATCAAAGCGTAACATCTGAAAACAAAATAATTATATTGTGTTCCTTTCCGTTTCTCTCTCCCTCCAGCAGGGTAGAGGGTGCATATAGATTAGACAACAAACTTATGATGAATGTTGCTGAAACGTATTGGGAAAGGCTACAGATAGCACAGCTGCTGTATAGACAAAAACAGCTGCACACTTTTGCTTTTAGAACCAATCAAAGAAGGCCATCCAGTGTGTGTGTGTGTGTGTGTGTGTGTGTGTGTGTGTGTGTGTGTGTGTGTGTGTGTGTGTGTGTGTGTGTCTTTGAAATAATAGCAGGACTCAGTGTTGACAGTGGCATGCAGTAATGAGCCAGTTAGCATTCCCATGGTGCACTGCAACAGGTCAATGGGCTGACATTTGCACCACCGCTGAACGTCAAGTACCCAGTGGACTTATTATCAGTGGAGAGGACACGTGCACACTAATTAACACTTTGTGTGTGTGTGTGCGTGTGTGTGCGTGCATGGGTGCTTGAATGCATGTGTGTAGTCATTAGGGCTGTCTTAAATTAGTGGAAGCAGCTATTAGACCTATTTGGCAGGGGATTTGATAAGGTTAACTGGTATAGAGTGATTGCTTTATTAAGGTGATGATGTGCTAAGCCTGGGGTGTGAGACATGGTCAGACTGATTGGGTGATGTGGGGATGGTCAGGGGCTGTGAGACTGTAGAAGTTACTATGGTAATCCTGCTGACAATCAATATCAGCTGTCTGTTCATTAGAGCTTCAACACTGTGGCAATGTGATTAGACCAGCAGATTACCTATGAGCTCAATAGGTTGTGAGACCAGACTCTAACATCAAGGGCCAGCTGCAGTCTCTCACTTCAGAGATAGTCCCTAACAACAGTTTGTGTTGTGTTGTGTTTTGAACAGGGTCAGGATCAGAATGGCTGTGGACCAGTCTCTGGGGATATAGTAACTGCTGTGTGACTGGAGGTTTGTCTGAGACACCAGAGAGAAACAAGATAAGGAGAAGAACACAGAGGAACCTTGGGGAACGTGGAGAACGTCCTGCTTCACACATAGAAACCATGATGACGCTAACAGAACGCTAACGGAACGCTCAGTGAGGTCATGTAGCTGCACTCGGACCGTCCTGCATGTGACCACACCTCCCACATCTCCTCGGCTTCTCTGATTGGCTGGTTTTGAGAGTGACGGACCAATGGAGAAGAGTGCTGAGGAGCTGAACCTCTCGTTCCTGCTGGAGCATGAGAGAGAGATTATCCTCAGTGTCCTGCAGAAGGACGAGAAACTGAGGAAGCGAGAGGAGAAGAGGATACGGTGAGGGCAGAATAAGTCTTTATCATTATGTACTCATACATCTACTACTACACCTTCTTTGATGAAGATGTTTGTCAGTGGCGATTTTAGCATGTCAATCTTGGTGGAGCAAACAAAAAATACAGGAAACGTTGAGCGGATAAGAGGCAATCCGTAATTCCGATTAAGACATTAATGAGCGAGCTAAGACGGACGTAGTCAATATAACTATTTGTTCAGCACTTTTGAAATGTACAGTGACAGAATTCAGAACATGGGCTGTTCTTACAGTATTCTCCCTGTACACCAAGTCAGAACCGTAGGATAAATAAAGGGGGCACATAAGCAGACAATGAAAGCTCTTACAATATTCAATGATTACATTTCTCTAAAACAGGCTATAGGCTACATGTGCACCACCAAGTCAGAACAGTGGGCTACTAACTGCTTACTACACAACATACACTTAGTATTACTTTCTTAGCTACAGTTTAAATATCTCCCTGACATATTACATCATTTATACAGCAGCATACAATTCCTTTTTGGACTCACCTTGTTGTGCTGTGCTCACTTGAACAGGAAGGTGACGTGACGGTCCTTGTGGGAAAAGTTTGTCATCAAACTTTGTCATCAAAGTCTGGCATTCTCTGGATTTATGGTGCTTTGAAGACAACTGGGAACTCTGAAAAAAACAAGGATGAATCATGACGTCAGTGATCTTCAGGTCGGCACTCTAGAAGCCTCTCGAGTGGCGCAGCAGTCTAAGGCACTGCATCTCAGTGCTTGAGGCGTCACTACAGACTCCCTGGTTTGATTCCAGGCTGTATCACAACTGGCCGTGATTGGGAGTCCCGTAGGGCGGTGCACAATTGGCCCAGTGTCGTCTGGGTTTGGCCGGTGTAGGCCGGCATTGTAAATAAGAATTTGTTCTTAACTGACTTGCCTAGTTAAATAAAGGTAAAAAAAAAAAGAGGCCAGAGTTCCCGACTTGGATGACCGTTCAAAACATATTTTCCCATTCGGAACTCATTTCCAGTTGTCTTGAACTCACTGAAGTCTGAGCTTTCCCAGTTCCGAGTTTCCAGTTGTTTTGAAAGCGGCAGAAGTCGTGCTGGATTGACAGGATAGCCAATGTATTCAACCTTTTCTGGCTCATGGTGTTGCATGTGAATGTTTATCCTTTTAAGCTTGGAAAAGAGACCCTTAAACCCAGACTTGGACCACGCACCCTCTCCACTGAATAGCAGGCTAGTGATTGCTTTGCAACGCTTGCAGTTAGCCACTGATTCCTTCCAAACCACTCATTGTTGAATTTGCGATTTCCAACTTTTCATGTCCAATGGCCAATGAGCATGATACGTTTTATCTATAATTTCTCTTCATGTGACAAGGATTGAAAAGGATTTGCCAGTAGATTGTCGACTTGATTCATGATGATGACTGCTTGACTAGCTTGCTAGCTAAGATTTTGAAAGTATAATGTTGACATGATCAGTCCAATCAAAGCTACGGTAAATATAACATGATTTGACATCTTGTTATCTGTGGCCAATAACCTTGAGCCTTCTTGGATGGATACTTCTAATGTAAATATATGGCATCACCCAGGGCGCTTGAATTTTCGAGCTCTCCCTGTAGATTTTGCAGTGATGTAGCGTTTAGCTAAACAGGTGGGGCTCAAAACAGGTGAGGCTCTGCCCCACCTGCCCTGAATGACGGTTGCCACTGATGTTGATGATGATTTTTTTGTTGTAATCATCATCATTATTCGTACCTCTACAATCACAATACGACCACATCATCACAACTACTACAATCATGGTCATAATCATTAGTGACAATGACAAACTTAATAAGTGTTCTTCCTTTGTTTCTCCCTGTTGTAGGAAGCTGAAGAATGAGCTGGTGGAGATCAGGCGTAAGGGTTTGCGACGCCCCCAGGAGGTTGGGGAGCGTCAATGCGCCCGCTGCCTGAAGGGCCTGGGCCTGATCTTCGACCGCGGGGAGCTCTGTGAGGAGTGCCTACAGCGCGTCTGCAGCGACTGCCGCGTGATGCCCCCTGAAGGAAAGCAGTGGAAGTGCTCCATCTGCGCCAAAGTCTCGTGAGTCTTGGCAAAGGCATCAGGTCATGGTTTAGCACCAGTAACCGTTCTGTGTGTGTATGTGTGTATGTATTTTTTTAATGAATGACAGATGCTTCCTATTTATTTTCAATCACTCTGCATTTATCTTCATTTGCTCTGTGACATCCTTTTCAGGGCGTTTTGACATCACCTTTAGAGACAGTTAAAGCCAGGGTTAAAGTTGGGAGGTCAGTGAATTGTACAGGGGTCAGAGGTCAGGGGACTCTGTCTGATGGTGTCTCTGATTGACAGAGAGCTGAAGGTGGTGACCGGGGAGTGGTTCCTGGAGGAGCGGTCCAAACGGTTTGACCAGGGGGCGGTGCTCAGCAGTGATGTTATCAAACAGTCTATCATGAGCAGCCCCGCTGGAAGCCCCCACAGGAAGTCCCCAGCGCCAGGCGACACAGTCCACACACCTGAGAGGCCTGACAAGTCCAAATCAGGAAGAAGCGCCGTAAGGAACCTGGTGGATGGTGCCAAGAGGAAAGGGAAAGGGTGAGAAACACACACAGGTACTGTATGTACACACACAGGGTTGAGCTGGATTACTTCAACATATAATCAGTTGGAAATTACAGATTGGCAATTTACAATTTAATCAATGACACAGGAGAAGATCACTGCACAGAGTTAATATGATGACTAGTCTACTACACAGGCAGGTGGAGAATGGGCCATCATCAGAGAATGTGTTTCCCATTGCATTCTGACTGGTTGGGTTAGTAGGCTTCCAGGACACACCTGGCCCACTGGCCACTCAACACACAGTTTTCTGGACTCCAATGAGACAAAGATTTATCACATTATCATATTGATATTTGATTAAGTAATCCAAAATGTAATCAGCATCTGGCCTGATTACAGCTACTTAATTTGTGTAATCTGATTACTTAATGTAATCATTTACGTAATGTAATCAATTACTACAGTCTTAGAATAAAAGGTGCTATCTAGAACCTAAAAGGGTTCTTTGGCTGTTCCCATATAGGAGAACCAAAAATAGTTCTACCTGGAACCAAAAAGTGTTATCCTATGGGGACAGCCAAAGAACCCTTTTGGAACCCTTTTTTCTAAGAGTGTACCCAACCCTGCAACACACACGCGTACACACAGACACACACACACAAATGCACACGCACACACACTGACGTATCACACACACACCACAGGCTGATTTGTAAAATTATCAGCTGTGTGTTGAATCCCAGGATGCGGATGGAAAAGAGGGGCAGCTGTCCCAGCCTGAAGCCAGAAAACGAGGTGGACGGTGGGAGTGTGTTTCCTTCTGTCCCCAACACAGACACATACAGTGTACACAGCGCCCGGTCCGCACCACGCTCCACAACCTGCTCTGCACCTCACTCACACAGGTGAGGCCAAACCACCAAACCACACCCATACAAGTAAAAACATTTTTTTAAAGGTTTTATTGTCACATACACCGTGGGCACATCTCCATTGTCTATAGTGGCTTATTGACTTAATCTCCTTCATTTACACTCATTTGAAGTTACAGGATAGGTGAAAGCAGCACATCTGTTTTAGGCAATAACTAAAGCTGTAGAGATTGGGTGTGACGAGAAGATGATTGATGACCAGTGGTTAAATTGAAAGTACTAACCCTAAACCTAGAATGGTAATTCAATCGAGTACAGGCTTAACTGAATGAACAACAAAGATGGAATGCAATATTACATTTAAATAGTTTGGGGAATGGCCTTGTCTCCGAGGGAAGATCCTCTGAGCCAGATAATGTGATGGCAGGTAGTTGACATATAAATACATCCAAAGATTTACGCCCATTGGTGAATATGGTGTAATTGCAGAACACAATTCGGGGTGTTTCTTGATGTGGGTGTTCCCTGATATCAGGAAACGCCAATTGATACCTGTCAATGGTCAGTTCCGATATCATGAGACTGATGGTTTCTCGACACAGATGAATTGTTTACATAGCAGGTTAGGATAACTAACGTGACAGGTTAGGATAATTAACACAGCAGGTTAGGTGAATTAGCGTCGCAGGTTAGGAAATTTAGGTTAATGTTAGGAAAAGGGTTAGGGTTAGCTACAATGCTACAGTTGTCTACAACTGTTGTCCCCGACACGAAAGAAACAGCCACAGACCAATGGCGAGCATCAATGGGTGTAGCTTGATATCAAGAAACGCCTATATCAGAAAATGCCCCTAATTGCGCTCTGAATTACACCCTTCTCCCATTGGTTGAGAGAGAGGAAGGTGATAATTGCAAGAGTGAGCCCATAGGTTGAACAGCAATCATGAGGAATGTGCATTATTGTGCAGTGCTTATAGGCTATATAATACATTTGTCTCCATTCCCACTATACCTGTATAATAGGAAACAAAGTTAATTATGTTATGCTGACTGGATGAAGTTAAACGAGCATTCAGACCAGCCTTCCTGTTTGAACTTTTGTAAACTACATTACATTGTAATTACATCAATAAGCCTTAATCCTAACCCCAACCCTAACTCTAACCCTAGAATGGTAATACATTGTACTTACAGCAGTAACCCTAGCCATAAGCCAAACCCAAACCGTTGCTTCATGTCAACACCCTGATCCAACCCTGACCCTGATCATCAGAATCTCAAATGTGTTATTCCAGTGTGTATGATGTGTAATGTGATGGTTTGTATTCTGTGTTGTCCTCAGGGGTAGTACTGTGTAATGTGATGGTGTGTATTCTGTCTTGTCCTCAGGGGTAGTGCTGTGGTTCTGGAGACCTCAGGGTTCCCTACTGTACCCAACAACCTACGCTCCCAAACCCCGGAGAGGGACAGGTTCCCTACACCCAGCAGCAAGAGCAGGAGGGTCAGGGTCAGCTACCCAACAGACACACACACACACATATTTTCATGCACTCATAAACACACACACACACACTCATAGAATGTGTGATTTTTAACATACCTCTGTCTGTGTGTGTGTGTATGTGTGTGCAGCCGGAGGGAGCGGAGAGCGTGGCTAGTTTCCGCTCCAGTGACAGCGTATTTGACAAGATGTCCGACACTGTCCCCGGGCAAGGCAGGACAGAGTCTGGCACCACCACCCCCACCATCGCTGTCTCCAGGGCCTCTGTGTCATCAGGTATCGTCATGACAACACACTCCTCACACCTCCACCATGTGTGTATGTGAACACCAAATTCACTTGTTTACTGAGTTTGAATCTGACAGGGGAGCATGAAGAAGATGAAGATGAAGCATTTAATGTCATGGTTTTTATGGAGGTGTGTCAGAAGGTTAGGAAGTGTTCTATTAGATTGGGAGCAATGGAGCCTGGTCCTTCGATCGTCAGGGAGAGTTGTAGCACCTTGTAAAGGATGGAGTTTACGCATTAAACTATCACTAACACTGCCAAGGGCATAAGTCATTACAGCTCCTATGTTGCTCTCACCCTCTGCCTCTCTCTCTCTCCTCTTTCTTTCTTTCTTTCTTTCTTTCTTTCTTTCTTTCTTTCTTTCTTTCTTTCTTTCTTTCTTTCTTTCTTTCTTTCTTTCTTTCTTTCTTTCTTTCTCACTCTCTCTCGATTGCTCTCTTACACTCACACCCACTCTCCTCTTCTTGTTTCTCATTGTCTCCCTCCCTACATTTCCTCTCTCCTCCCTTTCTCTCTTTGCCCTTTTCTCTACTCAGACACCTTTCTCATCTCACCCAGTAACAGCTGGCTGTTGTAGCAGCATATGGCGCTCTGTCACATGTTAGCATTTCATAACAACTCTAATTAATGTCATTAGGCATGGCTGTGAAAGTACTGAGGAGAACTGTCTGTATGTGTGGCTGTGGGAAGGTAATACCTTGTCACTCCCTCCTCTCATCTCTCTCTCACTTTCCATCTCTCTCTTGCTCTCTCTCTCTCTCTCTCTAGATCGTAGTCGTTCTGAGGTGGACCTGTCTGTTCCTGGTTCTGCAAGTGATGAGGCCCTCAGTCTGAGGAGCCGCTCTGTCCCTGGGCTCAATGACACGGTACACACACACACACAAGGCTCCCATCTTTTGTGTCCATCTCTAAGGCAATATAATCACACAGCAAATTGTCCAGTGTTACATAGTGTTGATTTTTCAGTGTAACATTTCTAGTGTTGATTCAGGTGTTAAATTAACTCTGTAAGTGTTAAATTAACACTCATTGGTTTAACATAACCCCAGTGTTGGTGTTAAAGTGGAACTGACAGCATTTTAGCAAGGTGGTAAGGGTAGGCAACAACACGTCTGCCACGCTGATCCTCAACACTGGGGCCCCTCAGGGGTGCGTGCTTAGTCCCCTCCTGTACTCCCTGTTCACCCACGACTGCGTGCCCAAACACGACTACAACACCATCATTAAGTATGCTGACGACACAACAGCCTGACCACCGACAACGATGAGACAGCATATAGGGAGGAGGTCAGAGACCTGGCAGTGTGGTGCCAGGATAACAACCTCTCCCTCAATGTGAGCAAGACAAAGAAGCTGATCGTGGACTACAGGAAAAGGCGGGCGGAACAGGCCCCCATTAACATCGACGGGGCTGTAGTGGAGCGGGTCGAGAGTTTCAAGTTCCTTGGTTTCCACATCACCAACTAACTATCATGGTCTAAACACACCAAGACAGTCGTGAAGAGGGCACGACAACACCTTTTCCCCCTCAGGAGACTGAAAAGATTTGGCATGGGTCGCCAGATCCTTCAAAAGTTCTACAGCTGCACCATCGAGAGCATCCTGACCGGTTGCATCACCGCCTGGTATGGCAACTGCTCGGCATCTGACCGTAAGGCGCTACAGAGGGTAGTGCGTACGGCCCAGTATATCACTGGGGCCAAGCTTCCTGCCATCCAGGACCTATATACTAGGCGGTGTCAGAGGAAAGCCCAAAACATTGTCAAAGACTCCAGTCACCCAAGTCATAGACTGTTCTCTCTGCTACTGCACGGCAGCTTCTACCCCCAAGCCAATAGACTGCTGAACAATTAATCAAATGGACCGTGGATTGTCCCGGGCTTGTGACTGTCTAGATCCCTACTGTTTGTTGCTGTTTTCAATTTTCAAATTTTTTTGCGACCTGCCCTCTCTGGAATTGCGGGGAGTAACAGCGTAGCCTACATTGCTACCATGACAAAGACCAAAGCCGGTGGGAGTACCGTTGAAGACAGTGGTGTCTCTCTATAACAGATGAAGGATCTTTTAAATGAACAAAAATAGTTCTACAAGCAGTTGTTACAACAACAAGAAAAAAGCTTCAAGTGTTGTGTCCAAATACTGGTGAAGTCAACTAATAAAAGAATGGACGACCTGACCAGAGAGGTCCAGGACCTGAAGAACAGTTTGCAGTTCTCACAGGGTCAACTCAATGAGTTTAAACAGCAAAACAGCAAGATGACAACAATCTGTAAATCATTAAGAGAGGGGACATCAGTTCTGTATGTGAATCCATGATAACAATGACAGAGAAATCTGATTATCAAGGGACAATCAAGGCGGATCAACATTGTTGTAGACGGAATTGCAGAATCTTCACATGAGACCTGGACGGAGTCTGAGGACAAAGTGAGGGAAATGATCTCGGGATGGACCACAGGAAGATTGAGTTGGAGCGCTCCCACAGGACTGGAAAACCCACCACCGGCCCAGGTGACAGGCCCAGGCTGAAAGTCGTCAAGTTCCTGAGGTTCAAGGACAGGTAGCGGTTCTTGAAATAGCCAAGAACTTGAGGGGAACGCACATCTTCCTCAACAACGACTATCCTGAGGCTGTGCGCAAGAAGAGAAAAAAACTTATCCCGGCCATGAAAGCTGCCAGAGCGTGTGGGGACATTGCTTACATCTGATATGACAGGCTTATTGTCCACCCTCCCTCCCAAAAGCCTAGAAGGGATGAGAGAGCCGGGCCTATGGGTTCGTAGCTTTAACCCCGCAACACACACACTTACACACACCAAATAATTAATGGACTGCTAAATGTATGTTGGTTTTTTTCTCTTGCTTTGTTTGTTCTTTTCTCTGAGAAGCTTCCCGGGAAAGGGCTGAAAATAGCCCATATTAATATATGTAACCTTAGAAATAAGGTTAATGAAATCAATAACTTGCTAACATTAGATAACATTCATATATTAGCCATTTCTGAGGCTCACTTAGATAATTCCTTTGATGATACAGCAGTAGCAATACAAGGATATAACATCTATAGAAGAGAAAGGAATGCTTATGGGGGAGGTGTTGCTATGTATATTCAGAGCCATATCCCAGTGATCACAATATAGTGCCTATATCTAGGAGAACCAAGGTTCCAACAGCTGGGCCTAAAATAGTGTATAAGAGATCATACAAAAGTTTTTGCTGTGACTCTTATGTGGATGATTTAAAAAATATGTTTTGGTCTGATGTGACTAATAATGAGCATCCAGACACTGCACTCCATGGATTGATGAGGAATTGAAAAACTGTATGGTTGAAAGAGATGGGGCAAAAGGAGTGGCTAATAAATCTGGCTGCACATCTGACTGGCTGACTTACTGCAAATGGAGAAATTATGTGACTAAACTTAACAAAAAGAAGAAGAAACTGTATTATGAAGCCAAGATCAATGATATAAAGAATGATGGAAAAAAACTTTGCCGTACTTTAAGTTAAATTATGGGCAGAAAGACAAATTCAACTACATCTTTCAGCGAATCAGATGGCTTATTTATTACAAAACCTTTTGATGTTGCCAATTATTTTAATGATTTCTTCATTGGCAAAGTGGGCAAATTTAAGCAGAAAATGCCAACAACGAACAGTGAGCCATCGTATTCATGAATTTAAAAAAACTAATAGTGAAAGAAAAGCATTGTAAGTTTGAATTTTGTCAAGTTAGTGTGGGACAAGTGGAAAGATTATTGTTATCGATCAATAATGACAAACCTCCTGGCATTGACAACTTGGAAGGCTACTGAGAATGGTAGCTGACTCTATGGCCACTCCTATCTGTCATATCTTTAATCTCAGTCTAGAGGAAGATGTGTGTCCTCAGGCCAGGAGGGGAGCCAAAGTCATTCCGCCCAAGAGTGGTAAAGCGGCCTTTACTGGTTCTATCAGCAGACCAATCAGCTTGCTGCCAGCTCTTAGCAAACTGTTGAAAAAAATGGTGTTTGACCAAATACAATGCTATTTCTCTGTAAACAAATTGACAACAGACTTTCAGCATGCTTATAGAGAAGGGCACTGAACATGTACTACATGTAGCTCAATTGGTAGAGCATGGCGCTTGTAATGCCAGGGTAGTGGGTTCGATCCCCGGGACCACCCATACGTAAAAATGTATGCACACATGACTGTAAGTCGCTTTGGATAAAAGCGTCTGCTAAATGGCATATTATTATTATTATTACACTGACACAAATGACTGATGATTGGTTGAAATAAATTGATAATAAGAATATTGTGGGAGCTGTACTGTTAGATTTCAGTGCAGCCTTTGATATTATTGACCATAACCTGTTGTTGAGAAAATTTATGTTTTATGGCTTTTCAACCTCAGATTCAGAGCTACACTATATATACAAACGCTGGAAAATAGTAAATAGGCATTTCAATGTAATAGATTTAGCCGGTGGTAGCTTGTGGAATAGACACCGGCTGGAATGCGGTTTTAACCAATCAGCATCCAGGATTAGACCCACCCGTTGTATAATGAGGATTATAAACTGGGTGGTTCGAGCCCTGAATGCTGATTGGCTGACAGCCTTGGTACACTATATATACAAAAGAATGTGGACACCACTTCAAATTAGTGGATTCGGCTGACAGGTGTATAAAATCGAGCGCACAGCCATGCAATTTCCATAGACAAACATTGGCAGTAGAATGGATATTACTGAAGAGCTCAGTGACTTTCAAAGTGGCACCGACATAGGATGCCACCTTTCTAACAAGTCAGTTCGTCAAATTTCTGCCCTGCTAGAGCTGCCCCAGTCAACTGTAAGTGCTGCTATTGTGAAGTGGAAACATCTAGGAGCAACAACAGCTCAGCCGCGAAGTGGTAGGCGATACAAGCTCACAGAACGGGACCGCCGAGTCCTGAAGCGTCTAGTGCGGAAAAGTTGTCTGTCCTCGGTTGCAACACTCACTACTGAGTTCCAAACTGCCTCTGGAAGCAAAGTCAGCACAAGAACTGTTCGTTGGGAGCTTCATGAAATGGATTTCCATGGCCAGGCAGCCGCACACAAGCCTAAGATCACCATGCACAATGCCAATCGTCGGCTGGAGTGGTGTAAAGCTCGCCGCCATTGAACTCTGGAGCAGTGGAAACGAGTTCTCTGGAGTGATGAATCACTCTTCACCATCTGGCACTCAGACGGACGAATCTGGGTTTGGCGGATGCCAGGAGAACGCTACCTGCCCGAATGCATAGTGCCAACTGTAAAGTTAGGTGGAGGAGGAATAATGGTCTGGGACTGTTTTTCATGGTTCGGGCTAGGCCCCTTAGTTCCAGTGAAGGGAAATCTTCATGCTACAGCAAACAATGACATTCTAGACGATTCTGTGCTTCCAACTTTGTGGCAACAGTTTGGGAACGGCCCTTTCCTGTTTCAACATGACAATGCCCCCGTGCACAAAGCGAGGTCCATACAGAAATGGTTTGTCGAGATCGGTGTTGAAGAACTTGACTGGCCTGCACAGAGCCCTGACCTCAACCCCACCGAACACCTTTGGGAATAAATGGAACTCCGACTGCGAGCCAGGACTAATCGCCCAACATCAGTGCCCGACCTCATTAATGGCTGAATGGAAGTCCCCGCAGCAAAACAAATCAAATTGTATGAGCCGAATATAACAGGTGTAGACCTTTAAAAATAAGAAATTAAAGTAACAAATAATTAAAGAGTAGCAGTAAAATAACAATAGTAAAATAACAATAGAGAGGCTATATACAGGGGGTACCGGCACAGACTCAATGTGCGGGGGCACCGGTTAGTTGAGGTAATTGAGGCAATGCAAATAGTGTGGGTAGCCATGTGATTAGATGTTCAGGAGTCTTATAGCTTGGGGTTAGAAGCTGTTTAGAAGCCTCTTGGACCTAGACTTGGTGCTCCGGTACCGCTTGCCGTGCGGTAGCAGAGAGAACAGTCTATGACTAGGGTGGCTGGAGTCTTTGACAATTTTTAGGGCCTTCCTCTGACACCGCCTGGTATAGAGGTCCTGGATGGCAGGAAGCTTGGCCCCAGTGATGTACTGGGCCGTACGCACTACCCTCTGTAGTGCCTTGCGGTCGGAGGCCGAGCAGTTGCCATACCAGGCGGTGATGCAACCAGTCAGGATGCTCTCGATGTTGCAGCTATAGAACCTTTTGAGGCTCTGAGGACCCATGCCAAATCTTTTCAGTCTCCTGAGGGGGAATAGGTTTTGTCGTGCCCTCTTCACGACTGTCTTGGTGTGCTTGGACCATGTTAGTTTGTTGGTGATGTGGACACCAAGGAACTTGAAGATCTCAACCTGCTCCACTACAGCCCCGTCGATGAGAATGGGGGCATGCTCGGTCCTCTTCTTTTTCCTGTAGTCCACAATGATCTCCTTTGTCTTGATCACGTTGAGGGAGAGGTTCTTGTCCTGGCACCACACTGCCAGGTCTCTGACCTCCTCCCTATAGGCTGTCTCGTCGTTGTCGGTGATCAGGCCTACCACTGTTGTGTCATCGGCAAACTTAATGATGGTGTTGGAGTCGTGCCTTGCCATGCAGTCATAAGTGAACAGGGAGTACAGGAGGGGACTGAGCACGCACCCCTGAGGGGCCCCCGTGTTGAGGATCAACATGGCGGATGTGTTGTTACCTACCCTTACCACCTGGGGGCAGCCCATCAGGAAGTCCAGGATCCAGTTGCAGAGGGAGGTATTTAGTCCTTTAGCTTGCTGATGAACTTTGAGGGCACTATGGTGTTGAACGCTGATGTGTAGTCAATGAATAGCATTCTCACATAGGTGTTCCTTTTGTCCAGTTGTGAAATGGCAGTGTGGAATGCAATAGAGATTGCATCATCTGTGGGTCTGTTGGGGCGGTATGCAAATTGGAGTGGGTCTAGGATTTCTGGGATAATGGTGTTGATGTGAGCCATGACTTTCAAAGCACTTCATGGCTATAGACGTGAGTGCTACGGGTCGCTAGTCATTTAGGCAGGTTACCTTTGTATTCTTGGGCACAGGGACTATGGTGGTCTGCTTGAAACATGTTGGTATTACAGACTCAGACAGGGAGAGGTTGAAAATGTCAGTGAAGACACTTGCCAGTTGGTCAGCGCATGCTCGGAGTACACGTCCAGGTAATCTGCCTAGCCCTGCGGCCTTGTGAATGTTCAGCTGTTTAAAGGTCTTACTCACATCGCCTATGGAGAGCGTGATCACACAGTGGTCCGGAACAGCTGATGCTCTCATGCATGTTTCAGCGTTACTTGCCTCGAAGCGAGCATAGAAGTAACTTAGCTTGTCTGGTAGGCTCGTGCCACTGGGCAGCTCGAGGCTGTGCTTCCCTTTGTAGTCTGTAATAGTTTGCAAGCCCTGCCACACTGCCAACGAGCGTCAGATCCGGTGTAGTACGATTCGATCTTAGTCCTGTATTGACGCTTTGCCTGTTTGATGGTTCGTGGGAGGGCAAAGCTTCCGGATTAGAGTCCCGCTCCTTGAAAGTGGCAGCTCTACCATTTAGCTCAGTGCGGATGTTGCCTGTAATCCATGGCTTCTGGTTGGGGTATGTACGTACAGTCACTGTGGCAACGACATCATCGATGCACTTATTGATGAAGCCAGTGACTGATGTGGTGTACTCCTCAATGCCATCGGAAGAATCCCAGAACATATTCCAGTCTGTGCTAGCAAAACAGTCCTGTAGCTTAGCATCTGCATCATCTGACCACTTTTTTATTGACCAAGTCACTGGTGCTTCCTGCTTTAGTTTTTGCTTGTAAGCAGGTATCAGGAGGATAGAATTATGGTCAGATTTGCCAAATGGAGGGCGAGGGAGCGCTTTTTACGCGTCTCTGTGTGTGGAGTAAAGGTGGTCTAGAGTTTTTTCCGCTCTGGTTGCACATTTAACATGCTGGTAGAAATTAGGTAAAACGGATTTAAGTTTCCCTGCATTAAAGTCCCCGGCCACTAGGAGCGCCGCCTCTGGATGATCGTTTTCCTTTTTGCTTATGGCCGTATACAGCTCATTGAGTGCGGTCTTAGTGCCAGCATCGGTTTGTGGTGGTAAATAGACAGCTATGAAGAATATAGATGAAAACTCTCTTGGTAGATAGTGTGGTCTACAGCTTATCATGAGATACTCTACCTCAGGCGAGGTAATGTTCCAACACCTAGTGGAAAGCCTGTTATATCAGCAAAAGGGGGACCATCTCCATATTAATGCCCATGATTTTGGTATGAAATGTTTGACGAGCAAGTATCCACATACTTTTAGCCATGTAGTGTACTACCAGACACAAATGAGAGAACACCTCACTGACAATTTTAGAGTCGCGCTAGCAGAGCTGGTTAGGCTGTTACATGTTATCTAGAGCGTTCGTGATTAACTAAACATTTTTTTGTCTACATTTACTGAAACCGGTCATATACAGCGGGTGTTGCGTGTTCCTCAATTCATCAGTTATTCTGCACTAGCAGAGTGAATTTGCGAACGCAAGAGATATGCTAACTGGACAAAAGTTGTTCAAGTTCTTGCTAGCTAACCAAATGACACCTGCATCTCGAGCTGTGTATAGCCACCGAAAAACAATATGAGGGGAAATATTCAGTCGCTCACCCACTCCTCTAATGACATGACATCCTCCTAGCAGCTAGCTAGCTATCTAGCTAATGTTAGGCTCCATGTTTTTAGCTTGATACATAAATAGATATGCTAGCCTATTAGCCACGTTATGATTGACTTGTGATCATTGCCCTTGCTAGTTTGATTGTATTGACATTCCCAGCCTTAGTTACATTCGTCCGTTTATGTCCAAAATATTGAGTCATTGAAACTGAAACAGTGCATCCCGAATGGAGGCAGCAAACAATGTACCAGGCCAGCTGTGATTTACAACCTGGTAGCAATATTTTTTGGACTACCAAGACATGTATTGGTGAATTATATTAATCATGCACTGAACTGCATCAGTCTATTCTGCCAACAATGCCTTAGTGTACGTCATGGAATGTTGAGTCAAATAGGACCTATTTTTAAAATCTCTTATAAAGTTGGTTTTGTGCCATAAACTGGGAATTTGATATTTTTGACTGATATTATGTCTGTCTGTTTGTTTCATATCTGCAAAGTAGTTAAAATGCTGTCAGTTCCACTTTAATAACAAGTGTTTAGTGTGAGAGTTGAATTGTGTCAGTTTTTACTCTATCATATTTCCCAGCATGCTCTACTGCAGTTAGATTTTTTTGCATTGTTTTTACTATCTGTGTTTTTGCATGTACATTGATTGATTGATTAATCTTATGCTACACAGCAAATGTTCCAGTGTTAAATCAACTCTGACAGTGTTAAATGTAACACTGGGCCAGTGTCTTAACGGGTCCACACGTTTGAGTGTTAAATTAACACTGTGCTTAGTGCTGACGCTGTTACACTTTGTCAGTGTTAGGGAATTAACACTTTCAGTGTTATGCAATAACACCATTGGTGCAAACTATACACACTTCCTAGTGTTAATTCCCTAACACTGACAAAGTGTAACAGCGTGGTAATTTAACACTGGTCTGTCTGATTAACACAACTGTATGAATGAGATATGAGCTTCAATAAGGAGCCCAGTTAGGAGTTAATTAGTGAGTGTAGGCTCACATCAAAACCTGCTCGGTAGCAGGGCTGAAGGCTGTGTGGTGAAGCAGGTGTAGATCTTAACCACTGGCTTAGGGTCACTACTCCTCCGTATTTACTGTAAGTGTGCATTTGAATAAGCAGTCTGATCTGTCTACACGTGTGAGTACACACACTCACACACATGCACAGGCACACACGCACGCGCACACACAGACTCGCAAAGAGCTCAAAGACAGTATGTGTGATGAGTGGGTCATCTTATTAACCCACTATGTCCTGACCTGTCTGATTGAATTTAAAGTTGCCACAGGGAACAGACTGATATGATACGTTGACACTGTATGGCCTCCTTACTGAGAATCTACATAGAGATTGAATGGGCTGATGTCTCCTCTGATGGTTTCTGTGTTCCACAGGAGTTTAATAATGATGAGAAAGACGAGGACATTGATGCTCTGATGTCGGCACACAGCAAGGCCACCAGCCGACGCGTGAGCAGCGCTATGTCCACGGTAATACCCTGTGGTATCGCTAACACACAATGCTCAAAACAATTACTCTGTCATACTCTGGCACACAGACAGACAGAGTGACATACACACAGACAGACTGGCACACACATCCACACACACACACACACACACAGAGAAAGAGTCCATAAAGAGGGATGAGTGTGAACTGTGTCAACAGGGCCAGTGGCCCCAGGGCTGAGGAACAGCAGGGCAGTGTCACAAACACAGCTCACAGCAGAGCTCACATATACAGTGGGGAGAACAAGTATTTGATACACTGCCGATTTTGCAGGTTTTCCTACTTACAAAGCATGTAGAGGTCTGTAATTTTTATCATAGGTACACTTCAACTGTGAGAGACGGAATCTAAAACAAAAATCCAGAAAATCACATTGTATGATTTTTAAGTAATTAATTTGCATTTTATTGCATGACATAAGTATTTGATACATCAGAAAAGCAGAACTTAATATTTGGTACAGAAACCTTTGTTTGCAATTACAGAGATCATATGTTTCCTGTAGGTCTTGACCAGGTTTGCACACACTGCAGCAGGGATTTTGGCCCACTCCTCCATACAGACCTTCTCCAGATCCTTCAGGTTTCGTGGCTGTCGCTGGGCAATACGGACTTTCAGCTCCCTCCAAAGATTTTCTATTGGGTTCAGGTCTGGAGACTGGCTAGGCCACTCCAGGACCTTGAGATGCTTCTTACGGAGCCACTCCTTAGTTGCCCTGGCTGTGTGTTTCGGGTCGTTGTCATGCTGGAAGACCCAGCCATGACCCATCTTCAATGCTCTTACTAAGGGAAGGAGGTTGTTGGCCAAGATCTCGCGATACATGGCCCCATCCATCCTCCCCTCAATACGGTGCAGTCGTCCTGTCCCCTTTGCAGAAAAGCATACCCAAAGAATTATGTTTCCACCTCCATGCTTCACGGTTGGGATGGTGTTCTTGGGGTTGTACTCATCCTTCTTCTTCCTCCAAACACGGCGAGTGGAGTTTAGACCAAAAAGCTCTATTTTTGTCTCATCAGACCACATGACCTTCTCCCATTCCTCCTCTGGATCATCCAGATGGTCATTGGCAAACTTCAGACGGGCCTGGACATGCGCTTGCTTGAGCAGGGGGACCTTGCGTGCGCTGCAGGATTTTAATCCATGACGGCGTAGTGTGTTACTAATGGTTTTCTTTGAGACTGTGGTCCCAGCTCTCTTCAGGTCATTGACCAGGTCATGCCGTGTAGTTCTGGGCTGATCCCTCACCTTCCTCATGATCATTGATGCCCCACGAGGTGAGATCTTGCATGGAGCCCCAGACTGAGGGTGATTGACCGTCATCTTGAACTTCTTCCATTTTCTAATAATTGCGCCAACAGTTGTTGCCTTCTCACCAAGCTGCTTGCCTATTGTCCTGTAGCCCATCCCAGCCTTGTGCAGGTCTACAATTTTATCCCTGGTGTCCTTACACAGCTCTCTGGTCTTGGCCATTGTGGAGAGGTTGGAGTCTGTTTGATTGAGTGTGTGGACAGGTGTCTTTTATACAGGTAACGAGTTCAAACAGGTGCAGTTAATACAGGTAATGAGTGGAGAACAGGAGGGCTTCTTAAAGAAAAACTAACAGGTCTGTGAGAGCCGGAATTCTTACTGGTTGGTAGGTGATCAAATACTTATGTCATGCAATAAAATGCAAATTAATTACTTAAAAATCATACAATGTGACAGTTGAAGTGTACCTATGATAGACATTACAGACCTCTACATGCTTTGTAAGTAGGAAAACCTGCAAAATCGGCAGTGTGTCAAATACTTGTTCTCCCCACTGTAGATACAGCACTTGCTAGGAGCCAGGTCCATTAGTCTAAACTCGCAGGTTTTTTGTTAAATACTGTATTACAGTATGTATAGCATATGTATGTATGCTATGCACTCGTAGAACCTGGGTTCACAACATTTTAATTTATTTTCTCACAACACATTTTGCCACTGGGATAATAAAGGGCACGATTGGTAGATTTTTTAAACATACTGGCTTAATATACAGTACTTACAGTATAAGAACATACACAGCAAATTCTTCAGTGTTAGATCAACACTGAGAGTGTTACATTTAACACACTGGGGTTCTTTTACACCAATGAGTGTTAATTTAATACTGAAAAATCAACGGTAGGTAACACTGGCCAATTTGCTATGTACTGTCATTGCTGGCTTATCTACGTATTTATGCCACTGAAACCCCCTCAGTGTTATTCTGAGACATTGCTATGTTAACAAGAGACAAACACATCCCCTGCCTGTCTGACATTTATGATTTCACCCCAGACATGACTAACAACATTAATTCTGACCGTGGGATCTGCTCCCAATAACAGCAGAGGTGGAGGCCCATGATTACGGAGATTATTCAGATGAATGGTGACTGGCTTCTGTGAATCTCCCTGCTCGAAAATAATATATGAATAGAACACAATGTTTAATGATTGCTGTGTTAGGGATGGATATGGGTGGATGAGGGAAACACACACACACAAAATAGATATCTACAGCAACAATTATTCCTATAATGTTCATGTACACTATGAGTAATATTCATCATAACTGAAGCCCAGAAAGGTTGCTCCTCATTTTATCCACTAAAACACATTTACATTTTAGTCATTTAGCAGACGCTCTTATCCAGAGCGACTTACAGTTAGTGAGTGCATACATCTTTTCATACTGGCCCCCCATGAGAATCGAACCCACAACCCTGGCGTTGCAAGCGCCATGCTCTACCAACTGAGCACCCATTGCTCTACCCAGACCTGTTGCTTTGGTCCAAGCACCTGTGTGTAGTTGCCTTTGATATTTACTGGTGCTGTCAGCCTGCTTTGTCCGTCCCTGTTTATTCATATTTACCCCGGAGGAGATCTAATCAGCTCCTACTTCATCTGATAATCACCATGGCAACCCTGCTAGATTCTGTTTTGTGTCACAGCGTCTGGTGATGGGGTGTCTGGGGTTTCTGCTCTTGTACTTTGGGTCTTTCCTCTTGTCTCTGTCCTCTTTACACTTTCACAAGTATCACCTCTCTTCCCTCCTCTCTCCCTCCTTTCTCCCTACTTCTCTGTCTCCTCCTCCCCCTGCTGGCTCTGGTCTATTCTTCCTCTGGCTGCTAGTCTTCTACTCCTGGCTCAGAGAGAAAATGGGGCTACCTCAGTGTCCCTGGCGACTCGGACGCAGAGACTGTGAGTCCTTGCCTCCTTGTGTGTGCATGCTTGCATGTGTGTGCCCCACTTATTGTGAATATATTTCCACCAAGCAGTGCCGCTCTGCTCCAATCGCTGCCACTTACTGCCTAAATTGGTCATTCATCATACTGGCTCATTCTATGACATAAATTAGATCATCTTTAGGATTTTACATTCGCCAGCCAGACCCATCTCACATCAAATGACTCAATCTGTCCATTCTGCATTTTTACCTTCAGAAAGACTAAAGGCTATCCAGGCCTCCATCTGTCTTACTCTCTTCCTGTCCTCTCCTCCTTTTCCCTCCACTTCTTTTTTAAATGTCCCCCTGCTCTGGCTGTCCTCTTCTCTCTCCCTCATCTGTTCTGATTCTCTACCCCGATCCTCTACTTCTTTGTCCTCCATTCTGTTATTTTCCTCTCCCATCTCCCCCCTCCTCTATTACACTCTTTTAATTGTTTTGCTGTCTCCTACCCCTCACTTGCTCTCTCACTACCCATCTCCTCTCTCTTTTCCCTCTCCTCTCTATTCTATCTAACCTCTCTACCCTTCTCTCGCCCCCTCTCCCCTCCTCTTCCCCCTCTCTTCTCCTCACAGAGTAGTCTGAACAGTATGATGAGTATGTACAGTGAGACCGGTGACTATGGCAACGCCAACGTGAGCGGGGAGCTGCTGTTGAACATCAGCTACAGCTATAAGACAGGCGCGCTCAATGTCCTGGTGAAAGAGTGTCGCAACCTGGCCACTGGGGATGAAAGGAAGCAACGCACAGACGCGTAAGGGCACACACGTACACACTGAAGAACCAACACTCTAAGAACAAAAAAGGTGCTATCTAGCACCAAAAAGGGTTATTCGGCTGTCCCCACAGGAGAATCCTTTAAAGAACCCATTTTGGTTCCAGGTAGAACCCTTTTGGTTCTTAGTTGTAATGATGTCATGTCATAGTATTGTGTGGACCAGGGGAGAGTTAGTAGATAAGTGGTTTGGTGCCACGGAGTCTGCATTCCTTATGTCAGAGTAGATTACTGATGTTGATCTTAGAATAATTGATGGACAGGATATAGAGACAGGGGTAAAGGGTAATAACATCAAAGAATGGGAGTGCCCATGGAGGGTTACCGGATGTTCGTGGAGAGACTTGTAACAGAGTGTATATATAGAGAGAGTGGATCTTTGTTCTGGAGTTAGGAAGATGGCAGAGGCAGGGCTATGTCTGTTATAACTAACCATGGTACCATATTAAATATATTATATAAACTCCCCATCAAAAGTGTCTAAGTACATCCTTACATTCGTAATCACTTGATACCCTAGAAACTCATCATAACATTAGTAGAACCCTTTTGGGAATAGAGTTCTACCTGGAACCAAAAAGGGTCTTACATGGTACCAAAAAGGGTTCTCCTATGGGGACAGCCACAGAACCCTTTTGGAATCCTGTTTTCTAAGAGTGTATGCTTACTGTGCCTACAGTTTAAAGAAATTACACAAACACACACACACACTAAATTATCACATATTCACACTTAAAAAAGAACACACCTCTAACAGCACAGTCCCTGACCGTCAGCTCAACTAGAACCAATCTATGACTGAAGTGTGAACTCATCATGATCCACAATGACTGTGACAGTCATGGTATGATAGAAAAACCTTAGTGAAGCCCTGGGGTGATCATATGGATACATGTCCTCCTCTGGAGTGTGGCTGAATGACTGTGTCTTCCATTGGCAGTTATGTGAAGGCTTACCTTCTCCCAGACAAGTCTCGCCAGAGCAAGAGGAAGACCAGCATCAAGACCAACACAATCAACCCTGTGTTCAATGAGAACCTCAGGGTAAGGGAGTGTTTGTGTGCACGTATGAAAAGGTGTATAGCTTGGGAGACAGTAATATGTAATGAGTTTGTTTTTGTGATCATGAGAATGTGTATCAAGTTGCCTGAAGAAAGAGTGTGTGTGTCATTAGTAGTCAGTCAGCAGGTGTTCATATTTAAAGAAATGAAGCTTGCACACTATATGCTCCTCCCATGTGTTTTCATTAACCTGCACCACAATACCTAGTGTTTCAGCCTTCGTAGCCTTCAATAGCCTTCATCAAGGCCCTGGTGAGCATGTTTTATTCCTGTATGAGCATCGGCAGGAAATGTGTTTTGGTACTTAGTCCTACTCTCCATCCGTCTCTCTCGCCTGTGCTGTGTAGTATGTGATCAGCCACTCCCAGTTGGAGACGCGGACACTGCAGCTGTCTGTGTGGCACCACGACCGCTTCGGTCACAACAGCTTCCTTGGGGAGGTGGAGTTGACCTTTGACTCCTGGGAGTTTGACACCAACATGGAGGAGTGGTACTCTCTGCAGCCTAAGGTATCCTGTGTGCAGATGGACAATAGCGTATATGTGTGGATTTATACTGTATGTACTGTATGTGTGTAAGTGGTAAATGCTGTAAGTACAGTATGTTTGTTCTATGTGCAGCTGGACAGTAGTATGGACTCCACGCAGTATAAAGGGGAGCTGACTGTCGTTCTGAAGTACATCCCTGCAGAGAAGAACCTCATGCTACCCCTGGACCAAGTCCAAGGTACTCCACAATTACCCCCTCTGTTTTACCTGCCCCCAGCCCAGCACTAACACACCTGATTCAACTAATTGATTAAAGATGTTGATAAACGGAACCCTTTTGTCCTCTCCTCCTCTCAGTGAAGAAAGGCTTTCTGAAAGGAAAGAAGACCAGCATCAAGCTGCCCAAAGGAGGCATGGTGGAGTTGCTGGTCAAGGAGGCCAAGAACCTGACCGCTGTCAAGTCTGGAAGCACCTCGGACCCCTTTGTGAAAGGGTGAGACGGGTGCACCCATTTAGTTTCATGTAGAGACCAATTTCTTTCAATCAGCCTACATTCCTAGGACCTACTATCTACCTTCTTCCTATTCCTCTGACAGTTTTGTATTTCTTGTTTCCTGTCTCTGCATCTGTTCAGGTACCTGCTCCCTGACTACAGTAAGTCCACCAAGCACAAGACGGCGGTGGTGCGTCGCACGGTCAACCCTCAGTGGAACCACACCTTTACTTACTGTGGCCTGCAGGCTGGAGACTTGAACAACGTGTGTCTGGAGCTCACCGTCTGGGATAAGGAGGCTCTGGCCAGCAACGTCTTCATGGGGGGAGTCCGACTCAACGGAGGGACAGGTCTGTATGTCTTTTCTCTTCTTTTCTCCTCTCAGAAGTTTATGGTGATTTGTAGCATATTCAGTCAGCATAACGCTGTAGGGATATGGAGTGTATACAACAGATAGTGATTATCTATTGTCTCCCTACAGGCCAGAGCTATGGGAACGAGGTGGACTGGATGGACTCGTACGGAGAGGAACAGCGGCTATGGCAACGCATGATTGACAACCCAGAGGTCCCCCAGGAGTGTACACTGTTGCTGAGGTCCAGCATGTGCAAGCACAACACATGAGAGGGAGGGAGAGAGAAAGAGAAGGAGAGAGGCAGTTGGAAAGACAGAGGGAAACAGAGAAAGGTGGCAGAGAGGGGAGAAAAAGTGGAAGAGAACAAAAGAAAGAGAAGGACAGTGGTTGAGAGTACTAAATGTCCATGCGCTATCCCGCAATAAAAGGCTGATGACATCACCCCACTTCCTTTGAACCCTAACCACTGAGCCACCCTGATCCTACACTGGGGTTCATGGTCCTCTACCTGGTTAAGTGCACAACCAGTCATGCCTTACATACACATGGCCATACCCTTCCCTCCAAAGCATCCAGCCAAGACCAAGCACTACTACTACTACTACAACTACTACTAATACCACTGTACATTATGACATATATGTAACATAATGAACAAGCACGTGCCATTGTATGATCTGATCTGACTCCTGGTTTCCACTATGCATATACAGTATGGGTGTGTGGGGGAACATGTCCTTGTCTCTGTAGTTTATTTACAACACTCTCCTCTCCCTGTGATGAGACCATGAGGTAGAACATGTCCTTATTCCCAGATCTAGGATTAGATTGCCTTGACCTGCTCCGAACTATAACCATTAGGGGGAAGTTAACATATCTGACCCTGTGTCAGTGGTTCAAGATAGCTTCTACCTACCCTCATAAGGTAACTACTCCAAAGGCACTTTGGGTTTGTTGCATGCGGAGGAGATTTAAACATTCCAATAGAATACTGTACAATGACAATTAGGGTATGTTCAAGACTGCGATGTTTCATGCAATAATTGTATTATGCAACATTTTGAACTGATAATCACCCGTTTCAAATTGTTGCACAATTGCATTGTAACTGATCCTGAACACACCAATAGTTTTACTGTTGTCTTGATAAAGCACATATTAAGATTAGAACAGCACAAATAATACTCACTTCATCATCAGACGTTTTTGGACCTAACTTTGTGTGGAAACAGAGATTAAGGTGGAAATCTAACCAGAGATCCATCAGCACCAAATTGCTGATCGAAATGTATTGTGTCAAATGTGGAATAGAGAGTCAGGGCAGTTCTATCTGCAACACTGAAAACGTTTAGCCCCAGGAGCCTTGAGGAGATGGGAGGATTGTGTGTTCCAGGGTGAGTCAGTGACCAGTCCACCCTCTGTCTGTGACTCACTGAATAGAGCACATCCGTCAGAGTGTCTGTACCTGTAAGTCAGGCCACTGTGACCCGTCTGTCCCTGCAACCTCCCTGGATGAGTAATAACACTTCTAGTATCCCCCCCGTAAGTGGTTTCGGAGTCTTGGGATGCATCCCAAATGGTACCCTGTTCCCTTTAAAGTGCACTAGTAGAGCACTATAAAGGGAATAGGCCAGTAATCAAAGGTCGCTGGTTCGAATCTCCGAGCCGACTAGGTGAAAAATCTGTCGATGTGCCCTTGAGCAAAGCACTTAACCCGAATTGCTCCTGTAAGTCACTCTGGATAAGAGTGTCTGCTAAATGACAAGAAATGGAAACGGAATAGGGTACCATTTGGGCCGCAGACTTTGTCTCGGTATACAGTCATATCTTACTGTGGTGCCATTCTTTCTGTGGAATGCTAAGTCTGCACATTCGTCATTGTCTGAGTTCCTATTATGCTCTGAATTCCGAGGGTAAACAACCATTGAAAAGTACAGAATAATAATGACACTATTTAAATGGTATTTAGTGTATAGATGAGTTGCGTGCAATACCCTGCTACTGAAGAAACACCAGACGTGTCTAACAGCATGTTACTGTCTCTGTTTTAATGTCCTCTCATTCAAAACTAGATTGATTTGACATTGGAATGTGACTGAATCCATCTCTTATTTTGGTTGCAATGTGTTATCAGAATATTTTGAAGTAATAAACCACACATATCATACCTCAGATGATTTCTATGTATGTTTAGAACAGACTTGCTTTTCTGTGCGGAATGTAACTGTGCGTGTCTGACCGGGTAAGTGTTCATGTGTGTATTTTCATTCACACAGCACCTATCTATCCTGAGGGTAAAAGTATGAATTTTTTTCTGTCATTACAAAAGACAAACTAGACTGTCCCAAACTAGAGTCGTAAAACATAGTTCTGGTTCTAACTGTAACGACAGAAGGACGAGGTCACTCTTTTTAAGAGGGCTATTTAATCATGGTTGTGTGAAATCAAGCGGAACAGACAAACAGCAGTGTACTGATGGACCAACATCGCTGCCTGTTACATCACACACACATACATTCCCGAGTGCTTATTATTAATGTCCTAATTAAAACACTGCTATCAGAACGGAGAAACATAAATATAAAACAGCTAAAGGATTTTTCCAGTTTCATATCCAAAAAAAAGAAAATAGTTATTATATAAAATATCATAATAGTAAAATGTGTCCAAGCTTTAAAAAAAACATACATACAGACTGACGAGTACAAGAATCAATATGATTGTGATGACCCACTCCGCCCAGGACCTCTAACTGCTGAAGGATGCAGTGATGAAAGAGAGTCATATTTCCATTCTAATTAGCCTGGTCCCAGTGCTCCACAGCTCCAAACTCCAATCAGACATTCCAATACTAATGATTCCTACTTAGTAGTGACTACTGAACCCCCTGTCTCCTCACAATTAGAAAGGCACTTAACTGAAAGTCATTGCATTGGTGGTAAATAAAGGGTTTAATGACTTAGGGAATCTCCTATTGAGGGATACGTTAACTAGCTGTGGTCTGCTATGAGGAACTGGAGGATGGGAGTCGGGTTCAGGAAGTAAGCTTGAGCAACGGTAGGGTTTAATGAGTGATTTGGAGGGATATTGTAGGGTGAAGGAAATAGTGGGTGTACAATTGGGGAGCTGGTGTTGGGGTGGGGGTGATAGTGAGGGGTGTTGTTGAGGTGTTGTACTACTGGCAGGTGTGGCCTGCCTCCTGCTGCAGCACCATCTCATCCATGCGTCCCTGCCAGGTGTCAATGGTGGTGAAGATCTGGGCTGAGGTGATGGGGTACGTGTAGCGCTCCCTGTCCATCCCCTGCTTGTCAATCATCACCATGTTGAAGTTATCATGGGAGATCTGAAGCAGTAACCTAGGCAACACACATCAACACTTCCATCAGGTCAATGCTGAACACACTATGGTAGGTCTGAAGAATGAGTTGTAGGTTTGTTATGAATGATGATGACGGTGTGTGTATGTGTGTACCTGAGTTGTAGAGCCAGCCCTGGGGGGATGAGTCTGTGGCTGATACGGCCGATCTGTGCCGGGTATATCCCGACCAGCTCAATCACCGTCACATGCCTGAGATCCAGACCACACTGGGCATGCTGGAACACACACACACACACACACACACACACACATATCATAAACACACAAATAACATTGTACACACAGCACAGAACATGAAAATGCACTCACATACAAATTCAAGTAATGTCAAAACATTTCACAGAATCCATCACCTGGCCTGTTAAAAGGCCCAGTGCAGTCCAAAATGTGATTATCCTGTGTTTTATATACAGCTCTAGAAAAAATTAAGAGACCACTGCAAAAATATAAGTTTCTCTGGTTTTACTATTTATAGGTATGTGTTTGGGTGAAATTAACGTTTTGGTTTTATTCTATAAACTACTGACATTTCTCCCAAATTCCCCCCAAAAATATTGTCATTTAGAGCATTTATTTGCAGAAAATGACAACTGGTCAAAATAACAAAAAAGATGCAGTGTTGTCAGACCTCGAATAATGCAAAGAAAATAAGTTCATGTTCATTTTTAAACAACACAATACTAATGTTTTAACTTAGGAAGAGTTCAGAAATCAATATTTGGTGGAATAACCCTGATTTTCAATCACAGCTTTCATGTGTCTTGGCATGCTCTCCACCAGTCTTTCACATTGATGTTGGGTGACTTTATGCCACTCCTGGGGCAAAAATTCAAGCAACTCGGCTTTGTTTGATGGCTTGTGACCATCCATCTTCCTCTTGATCACATTCCAGAAGTTTTCAATGGGGTTCAGGTCTGGAGATTTGGCTGGCCATGACAGGGTCTTGATCTGGTGGTCCTCCATCCACACCTTGATTGATCTGGCTGTGTGGCATGGCGCATTGTCCTGCTGGAAAAAACAATCCTCAGAGTTGGGGAACAATGTCAGAGCAAAAGGAAGCAAGTTTCATCCAGGACAACCTTGTACGTGGCTTGATTCATGTGTCCTTCACAAAGACAAATCTGCCCAATTCCAGCCTTGCTGAAGCACCCCCAGATCATGACCGATCCTCCACCAAATTTCACAGTGGGTGCGAGACACTGTGGCTTGTAGGCCTCTCCAGGTCTCCGTCTAACCATTAGACGACCAGGTGTTGGGCAAAGCTGAAAATTGGACTCATCAGAGATGACCTTACGCCAGTCCTCTACGGTCCAATCCTTATGGTCTTTTGCAAACCTCAGCCTGGCTTTTCTTTGCTTCTCATTGATGAAGGGCTTTTTTCTAGCTTTGCACGACTTCAGCCATGCCCCTAGGAGCCTGTTTCGAACCGTCCTCGCCGTGCACTTCACCCCAGCTGCCGTTTGCCATTCTTTTTGTAGGTCACTTGATGTCATCCTACGGTTGTTGAGTGACATTCGAATGAGTTGGCAGTCATCCCGGTCAGTAGAGAGTCGTTTTCGCCCTCTGCCGGTCTGTAGCTTTGTTGTCCCCAATGTCTGCTGCTTGACCTTGTTCTTATGAACTGCCGTCTTTTGAAATTTTAAGGATGGAAGCAACCTGACGCTCACTGTATCCCTCTGCCAGTAAAGCCAGAATTGAACCCTTCTTTTCCTCACTCAAAACTTTCCTTTTCAACTCTTTTGGCATGGTCAATAGTTATTTTTTGATTAATATTACTTTTGAGGTACTATTAGCACTGCTTTTGCCATCCAGCTGGTCCTATTGCAAGAGGATAGTGATGACCACAGCAGTGGTTTTTATACTTTTCCTCATTAAATAAGATTTGGTTCAGATGATCACCTAATCAGTACCTAATTCAGTAGAATGAGGTGTGCCTGTGTTGGAATTCAACAGACACTGGAATTGAATGGCTGTCATACATGCAGAGATGCTGATTTAAGAAAAATGTGCAGTGGTCTCTTAATTTTTTCCAGAGCTGTATATTTCCACACTATGAAGTTGGAATAATACTGTGAAATTGTGAAAATGCCCTTTTAGTGTAAGAGCTGTTTGAAAAGACTGCCTGAAATTTCAGCCTATTTTGATGAGATGGAGTTTTGGTGACATCACCAGGTGGTAAATTAGTTAATAGACCAATAAGAAAGAGAGTTCCATACCTCTCTGCCAATAACAGCTAGTTTTCAGTTTTCCCCTCCCCACTCAGACCACTCCCAGACATTCCGAGCTAAATTCTTGCTTTAGAAATTGCTATTTGCTAAGAACCTATTTTTGTTTATTTTAGACCATTTTAATTTAAAACAATCACAGTAAGGTACTTAATTGTTACCCAAGAACTGATTTGATAATGAGAGGAAAACGGCTGCATTAGACCTTTAAAGGTGAGGTTGGAATGACTCACAGCGTATGACAAGAGTCGTCTCTTTCCTGACACTTTAAAGGTCAGGCCTTTTAAAGGCGGCTCCCTTTTAATATCTTCTGACAGGCAGAAAATCATCCAAACCCAGAATAGCCTGAATTTAAAGAGAGCACCGGCCTTGTTTATGCTGCGCCGTGACATTTTCTCTGTTTACCAGGAACCGAGGCACTACACACCCCATCAGCAGAACCACAGACAATTTTACCCACTCCCCCACTCTGTCTCTCTCTTTCCTCTCTCTCTCTCCCCCCTCCCTTCCTCTCCCTCCCTCCCTCCCTCCCTCCCTCCCTCCCTCCCTCCCTCCCACAGATAATGTTACCTACTCCCCAACTCTCTCTCTCTTTACTCTCTCTCTGCCTTTCTCCCCTCCCTCCCTCCCTCTCCCTCCATCCCTCATCCCTCCCTCGCTCTCTCTCCCTGCATCCCTCCCTCCCCCCTCCCTCACCTGTAGGTTGGTCATTTGGAACCTGTAGTAATGATTGGCAGCTGTGGGAGCAGAGATGATGAGGAGGCGTCGTTTCTCATAGAACTGGTCCAGCAGACCTGAGGCCGTACGCACCCCCACGTTGATGTTCATAGCTGTGACATAACATGTTATGACATAATAAAACACTACATCATTGCATCATATCACATCATCATATTCTATGAAAGCAAATGATGTAACTTGATTTGCAATTGCCAATGAAATCTCAAAATGATGTTAATTTCGTTGCTCTGTTTTACTTGTCTTTAATGTTCTTGTTGCTATAAACCTTGCTAGCAATAGTAGCGAATGACCTGTTCCTTCCACAGCGTATATAAGAAGTGCTATATGGAGTGTCACTGTATTATATAATATAATAGCAGTATTATATTGTCTCTTCTATTAGACAATAACCCACTTAAGTATGTGTCACAGACAGTGCTGGTCAATGTCAGAGCAGGAAGTATTGATCTGCTGGATCTCTGTGATCGATCGACAGCCCATCCTGGCCGAGGGAGACATGCCCGTTTTCACCTCCAGTGAACCCCTCAGCACCCCTGACCACCACTTCAATACTGCTAAACACACAGCATGGAGAATGTGTAATGTATGTGTGTGTGGTTTATAGTGATGGGGGAAAAAATCAAGTTACATATCGGGATATTATGTTTGACGATATATCGTATCGTTTTGAAAATATCACAATATAATTTTTGCGCTGGTTTGATGTGCCTGCATCAAAACTCCAGTACCTTTCCTTCATAGATTGTTCTCCATCTTCTTTTTAAATAGAGAGACAATTTGTTTTCACCACTTTTATTTCCATGTCTGATCAAAACTTGTTTTCTCATGGCTCTCTCTTGTCCCTCTGCAGCAGACATACAGTGAGGGAAAAAAGTATTTGATCCCCTGCTGATTTTGTACGTTTGCCCACTGACAAAGACATGATCAGTCTATAATTTTAATGGTAGGTTTATTTGAACAGTGAGAGAAAAATCCAGAAAAACGAATGTCAAAAATGTTATAAATTGATTTGCATTTTAATGAGGGAAATAAGTATTTGACCCCTCTGCAAAACATTACTTAGTACTTGGTGGCAAAACCCTTGTTGGCAATCACAGAGGTCAGATGTTTCTTGTAGTTGGCCACCAGGTTTGCACACATCTCAGGAGGGATTTTGTCCCACTCCTCTTTGCAGATCTTCTCCAAGTCATTGAAGTGCAAAGTACTGTATGTGTGTCTGTGAGGTGTGCTTATGTGATGTGAACAGCATGAACAGTGTGTGTATGTGTGTGTGTGTGTATACATGCATGTGTGTGTGCACAGATACGTACCTGCACAGTTGGTTTCCATGCCTGACCAGGTGAGTCCATACTGGCACACCCTGGCAGCGCTGCCCTGAAGTTCGTACCCTCCTGTACATTTGAAATCACAGGTGGCCCCGTAGTTATCTCCATCACTGTCACACTTCATATAGCCGTTCTCTGGAGGGGTCATGGGGCTGCATCGACGCACTGGTGGCACAAAACAGATTCAGACACTCACTCTCAGGCTACGTTCACAAAGGCCGTCCAATTCTGATATTCTTTTCACTAATTTGGTATTTTGACCAATTAGTTCAGCTCTGAAAAAGATCTGATGTGAAAAGATCTGATGAGATAGGTCAAAAGACCAATTAGTGGAATATCAGAATTGGGCTGCCTGTGTAAACGCAGCCTAAGAGGCATACATGTGTAAGTGTTCTGTGATTGTTCCTTCAAATGTTGTCAGAACATTGCTGTCTGACTACAAACGTTGTAATAATGTTGGGGTGTCACCTCGTACTCTGACAGAAAAGCGGCAGCTGCCCTTGTTCCCGGCGCGGTCGTATACGGTGTAGGACATCTTATGGAGCCCCTCAGGGAAGTGTCCAGGAGGCTTCCCTTTCAGGATCACACTGTAAACACAGCCTCAGTCAAATACTACACTGTGTCAATAGTACTGAAGCCTAACTAAAGACTTACCCTACTACTACTGCTACCATTACTACTATTACTGCCACTAAACTTGAGCGGTATCCAGATGGGCATACCTTCATACCAACCTTGTGCCATACTGGGACATTCGGTAATGCCGGCACTGAACACAAGGGGCGCTATTTTCTAAACCCACTGCCTCTGTAATCCTAAGGTTAGCAATGCTAACAAGTACATGTAAAATCCCATAGAGAATGGAAACTAAATGCTAACAAGTACATTACAAATATTTTATACAGCCTCTGACCTAAACTATTTTCAGGACAGACGTCCCAGCTCATAAAGTTATACAAGTAACTCAAAAATGCTACTTACAGTTTGCTGCACGCACAAAACAAATATTAGACAGCAAGGCTCTTGATCCAGGAGGGGATTGTCTACTGTTACCAAGCGAAAGCTTGATTTTGGAAGAAGCTAACCACGTAGCTAGATAGCTAACTAGCTACTAAATTAGCAAACCAAATGCACAACTGCAGAGCATTTAGCACATTTTAGACAGTTAAATTAATAGCTATAAAATATCTAGCTGGCAAACATTTTGATGTGAATTCCATACTGTAACTAGATGCGTGCTGCACAACAGTGAGTGACTCACAAGTCTCTCGTTGTTGTGTGCTTGTAAACAAACACCACGTGACTGGGGACTACCGGTAAGAAAAATTATGTGACAGGTAAAATGAAGAATGCGATCTTCTTTATCTCCTAACGTATTGCACAAGCTGACTGCAGGTATTTACTTAAAAAGTAACTACAAATATTCAAATGTATAAAAAAAAACTTCAAATAAATAGTTTAAACGGTATTGAAAAAACATCCTGTGGCTATTTCCAAATATCCCGGTATACAGTATATACACGGTATACCGCCCAAGCCTAACTACCACTACAGGTTATAAATTAAGGTTCAGTGGAGTTAGGGGTTAAGGTTCAGGGGTCAGACTGACTCGGTGAGGATGCCGTCGGCCGTGTCCTTGCCCTCCGGTGTGTCCCAGGTCACCCTGGCAGAGAGCTTGCCAGGCTCTGCCGTTTTGTCCTTCAGGTTAGGACACTTTATCACTGGGGCGTCCACATCTACCAGAGAAGAAGAGAGGGGAGGGGGGGGTTACAGGACAAGAGGGGATGTCGGGAGACAGAGATAGAAGAGAAAGAGTGGTTAAAACGGTCAGCAGATGTGGAGGGAAGAGAAACAGGAAGAGAGAAAAAAACGGTGATTTTCCCTGTTCTGTCGTGTTGTGTTGTGTTGTGTCCTCTGTGTAATTGGGGTGATTTTAGACTAGAGAAGCTCCTATCACAGCAGACCAGGAGAATCAATGTCATTTCACTGGAGCAGAAAGACTCCATCACTGCTGTGTGTGTGTGTGTGTGTGTGTGTGTGTGTGTGTGTGTGTGTGTGTGTGTGTGTGTGTGTGTGTGTGTGTGTGTGTGTGTGTGTGTGTGTGTGTGTGTGTGTGTGTGTGTGTGTGTGTGTGTGTTGTCTGATCTAAATCTGTCACTCAAACATCAAAATGACATTTGCTAAAACAAAAAACATGCAATATGCTGTTTTTGTCTTGTCAATTTTAGCATCTCAGAGAGGCTTAGCCACACACACACACACACACAGATACACACACACACAGAGATACACACACTATTCGGCCATGCGTATAATTACATAAAAACATCTACTTTCCCTGTGAATGTGCTGTAATTCCATATATACCTGTCTGCTGGGTGTAATTTGCTAGGGGGGATGAGGAGGGCGCAAGGGATTTGAATCTCTTCATATCCATCCTCAGTAATGAAAACAACCTACAATGTACAATGTCTCCACAACTGCTTTTGCAAATCACACACTGCCTTAAATTGTGATCGCATAAGAGGTTACTCCACATTATTGTCAAGTGGTTCTGAGACTGGATTGCTGTAGTTCGCAGTGTGTCATGCTTGGGCTAGCAGCACAGGCTTGTGGTTACTCAACCTTACACACAGTGTGTGTGTTTGTTTGACTTAAGTCAATTAAATCTGAATTAAATCTGTCTATAATTCAGCCTGTTTCTCACATAGCAGTAGGTGATTATTTCATTAAGTCAGTCAGGAGTGAATGTGATTTATAATTTATTGGATCCCATAGTCTTAAGAGCAGCCTGTATTTCCTTAGCATTTAAACAGTGTGGGGGTTGGAATTAGAATGTGGTAGGATTCAATGTGCAATGTGAGGTGGGCAAACTCAATAATACTCACACAGCTACAGACACAAACACCACACACACACACACACACACACACCACAAACACCATACACATACTGTACATCGGTAAATGCACACACGCACGCACACACATCCACATGCACGCAAGCACTCTCTGACTCACCTACACAGACGCTCTCCCCTGAGGTCCAGGTCTTGTGGTACTGGCAGGTGACAGTCTTGGGCCCCTTCAGAGTGTATCCAGGGGAGCAGAAGAACTCACAGCGGGAGTTAAAGTAGGATCCGTCTGAACACTTATAGCCCCCGTTAGCAGGCATTTGTAGCTTAGGACACCGGATCTCTGACAGGGAAACACAAATCAAGTCCATAAATGTATTTTCACAAACAGGGTGTATGATTGGCAGGTAGCTGATGAATCTGACAATGATTCTAATGGTTGTGTGTATCTTCAGTGGTTACATATGTTTGGTGTAGAGGTGTGTGTCCAGTGATTTTGGGTCTTGCCAGTAGGCCAGGTGTGTGAGTTTGTGTGTGTGTGGTGGTCTCACCCCTGCAGGCGTAGTTCCCTGACCAGTGTTTGCTGGCCATACACACCACCTCTGGGTGTCCCTGCTGCATCTCGTAACCACTCTTACAGCGGATCTTACAGCGTGATCCCATTACGTTCTTATAGTACTGCCCTCCAGGACTCCGACAACTCACATCGCCATGCTTCACCTTGATGGGCGCGCACCAAGGGGTCCCTAAAAATGGGGTTGGGTGTGGAATAAGAGGGAGAATTATACCATTCACATAAAATATTGAAATAAACTTCGTTCTGGTTCAGGTGCTGGACAGACATCTATCTATACAGGATAGAGAGAGACATTGTCTGTTAGTGCCGCAATGTAAATTAACTTTTGGGGGCCGGGTGGTATTTACCAGTGTTTTGGACATCCATTTGTTTTCTCACCTTACACTCACAGCCTCTCTTCATTTTAGCAGTAAGTCAGGCAGTGAGTTACCCATACCAACATACATAATCCATACCAATTTACCACAGGACACAGTGTTTACAGCAGACTAAAGAGGTCAAATCTGGAGTGCTAGTGTAAACCCATCCATCATCTCATCACAGGTAGACAGAAAGATACAATGGGTTTGTCACTTACCATAATCCATACTGACAATAAGAAGTACTTGACAACAAGAAGTACTTGCTTGAGTAAAGAAAAGATAGAGGTTGAGAGTAAGGGAAATAGTTTGAGTGTGTGTCTCCGTCTTTGATCACTTTGATCCAGTGGATTTAAATGGGATCACTCAATCATACTGTTGATTAGAGCTACTAAACCCCATCAATTTAACTATCAATGAATACAACCTTCAGAATAGAGGCTGGTGGATGATGATTTAGAGCTGATTTACAGCAACATGGTCATAATCATGAGGGATAAAGATGTGTCAGAAGAACACTAAAGTTGCCTCCAACTTTCCTCACCAGTTGGACGGCTCTATCCATCCCTCAAACGCTTGCCTAAAGATTCCTTTTGGGAATGCCAAATTTGAGGGGCCAGCAGGTTCGTATTCCAGGGAAATAAAATCTGCAGTCTATTTCCCGCTGGCTCAGAACACACACACTTTCTTGTACGCACACACGCACACACACACTCTTTCAAACACACACTCTCAAACACACACCAGCTGGACAGGAGCTGGTCCGTTCGTGTGTGTGTTGGCTGTATCTCCAGTCTCCACTGTCATTGAGTAAGAGAACACAATACTATATTTGAGTCTCTACAGAGGAGAAATATTCCAAGAGTTTGTTTTGGCCCAGAGGGTAAAATTACATGTCTAACTGACCTCAATGAAAAGTTTAAAGTTAGTTTGACATAATTGTGTCAGTTTGTAAAACAGGGGATGAAGCATATCGCTATCTTGTGGAGAAAACAAATAACACAGTTGTATACATCACATTGAAGTGACAGACACACAGCTAACTTTGATTGGCTATTCAAAGAAAATAAATGTTTTCAATGTTGATAAAAAGTGAAGTCATTGCTTTGAGTTTAAGAGGCTTATGTTAACCCTAAACTTTCCTGCATGTTGAACGCGAGTGCCAGAGTGTGTAAAAGCGTGCAAGCGTGTGGCAGAGAGCTTGGTCAAAGCATTCACCTCCGTTTCTACGAGCATATGCGTCTTCATCATCTCCATAGCCATAGTATCCTGACCCTGGGAAAGTAAGAGGGAGAAGAAAGCAGCTAGTGACCAAGGCAGGGAGAGAGCAAGGCTGCATTCAGGATAAAAGTAGGGCTGCATTGGTTTCTGTATAGCACTTTGTGACATCTGCTGATGTAAAAAGGGCTTTATAAATACATTTGATTGAAAGGGTTTAGCAACGTTTCAAAACATGATGTAGGCCTAATCCTTCAGCAAGAGATTTGGGTTGGACCATACTGGTGTTTTGCAAGAGGGCATTATTAAATCAAGATTATCACTGTTGAAAACAGTAAGTCGCTCTGGATAAGAGCGTCTGCTAAATGACGTAAATGTAAATGTAAAACGTTGCTAAACTATTCCTCCAAAGAGGACCCCAGGGGTTGGACCATGAGAGATCTCTTAAACACATGCAGAGAGGAAGAACCCCAAGGGAGCCTTTCTCCCCAGCTGGTTTGACACAATTAATCGCTTTTAATGCAACCTTGTTCTAAAACCAGTTGTGCAATGGCAACCTCACACTGGGGTCACAGTCAATAAGTATGAAACGGAAGGAAACGTTTAGAAATGGAGGAGGAACTACCTAAACCTTTTCTCCATTCCAAAATGTTTTGTCCTGTTTGTTCTTGCTGAAACGTGACCCAGGGTCTTGTTGTGAGGTCACCAACATACTTACTGTGATATGTGACTAGTGCTCCAATATTGGTTTCCTTTCCTTCTCTCCTTATTGGTCACTAATATGAGAGAGCTAGAAAAAGAATGGCCTTCCAATAGAAATCTGGCTTATTGCTTTCATCTGTCAAGATCTTTGATATCAGTTGTCAAAAGGAAATCAGATATGAGTATTGGGATGTTGCTTCTCTGGCAGACAATGCTTCGCTGTCACAGCATAACTACTGCATGATCTAGAGCTTTCTGCTTCAAAATGATACATAATATTTCAATGCACAATGCAAGATAAAGGAGGAGTGACATGAGCGAGAGAGAAAAAGGAGAAGGGAGCGGGAGAGAGAATGGGTGAGGGAAGGAAAGGGGTGTACATGGGAAAGAGGGGTGAGGAGCGAGCTCAGATACGCCCCATCGCTACCAGAGGAGGATGTTATGGACCAACCCAGTGTGAATGTGTTCTCTGTTCTGGATCCATGAGGGACAAAACAGACAGAGAAGTCTTTCACTCCTGCTACAGCTACACGCTCTCAGCCCGATGGGCATTTATATACGTCAGCCAAATGTCCGATCACACTGCTACTGAGCACATCCTCATACAGACTCTGAATCTGATTTAGCTGGCTGAGGGGAAAACTCACGGGCACACAGCCAAGGATGTCTATAAGAGGGAAACAGACATATCTGGGAAACTAATCACAGGTGTGTGCCGCTGCTTCAGATTAGTTCTATAACATGCTTTCAGACAATTTACTGCCTACAGTGAGGTTATATATGACTATCCTTACATAGTACGACCACTATATAGCCCCACACCAGAGAGCACATGGAAAATGTACCGCACATCTCTACTGGGCTTGGTTATGGGGCCATAATAGACAACAGACAACAGAGTAAATCTAACACACACGTAGGCCTTCCTTTCTGTCTCTATCGAGACTGTTCTACAGATTGCTATCCTGCTACAACAACTAAAGTTCTGCTCTGATTTCTTAGTTTTGTTATTCTTTAATAAATGGAATCCTAGGGGGCTCTACTGACATACACCATACCAGCAGAGAGCCTCATAGCCTATAGCAGGGGATATTTCCCAGAGACAGAGCTAGTCCATCTTCTCCACACGCACATCCTTAGAGACAAAGGCAGCCAGTTAGACTGACACTCACATCCCATACAGGAATCTGCAGCAGAGGGCATAACACATTATTATAGACTTGTCTCTCTCTCCCCTCCTAAGGGATCTTAGAGAGATCTTAGAATACCGCAGTACTGTTCCTATACCGCAGTACTATTCCTTTTCCATTCAAAGCTGTCTCCAGAACAGCCAGGGGTAAAATTACACTATGATTAACTTGAAACTATCTCATCCACATCATCAAAATGAGCCAGCCTTGAATAAAAGCTGATATGCTGAGAAGTTGACACTCAACTTGGCAGTATAAAGTTTCCTTTTATTACTTATTTCCCATTTGGTTAACATCAGTGAGTGAATAAAGGCCAGTTCCAGAGCTTTCAATAACAAAGAAGTTGTCATTGATCTACATAAACATGGTTCCACTCCCAACAGTCTTTCTGTCAGTGCACTGAGGTTTGGAATCAGACAGCATCCCTAACGGTCTCTCTCTTCTTTTCTCTTCTTCTCTCACAGTGAAAATGACTCTTCAGAGGGTGGAAAGACGTCAGAGAGAACACAGTGTTGATAAAACAGAGAGAGCGAGCGAGAGAGAGAGGCTCTTCTGCCAAGCTCTATGAGAACAACAGGGCCAGAGGGAACACAAACTGAGGTTCCAATCAGCTTTTTTCAGCCGAGCTTTGCGTAATAGGGATCAATAACAGGGTTAATGTAGAAACATGCCAGGAGGAGAACTGAACAGGCAGTACAGACATCTGTTATTTCATCTGGGCATCAGAAACACATAGACTAAAGACAGTGAAGTGATTCAACCATCTCTTTCTCACTGCCTCTGTGCACAACTTCCCTTTTATAGATCTCTTCCTCAACCAACCACCCTAACTCTCGTTCTCTTTCTCTCTCCAACATCACATGCTCACGACACCTTTCTTAACGCATCAATCACTGACTCTCTCACTGGCATGCTGTCTTTCTCTCTCTCTATGGAAAATGAGAATAACCATTATTACTGCTTCTCCAGTGGTATTAGTAAGCTGGCAGGCTTAGAGAATTCCCTAGGCTACATCACGCTGTGTTAGGACGGCATGTTTGAGCTTTCTGACAATTAACTATACACACAAGGTCACTCACCTACCACAGACCAACAGCACAGCAGTCCATTCAGAAAATATGAATGATTCATCTAGTCATTATGACTGGGTTTCACTGTAAGGAGAAGGCGTCACTGAGTGTGTGTGTGTGTGCACGTGTGTGCATGTGTCTGTGTGAGTGTCTGCTTGTGTTGACAGAGCAAATAGTACTGAGAGGGGACAAAGGAGACTGCGGCAACCATCTTATTTTTTTGAGACAGAGACATACAGAGTTCCGGAGAGAACCAACCATCAAATCCTTCCCTTGCCAGTTACCACCCACCTTCATTTGCCCTGGAGGTAACATCAACACTCAGCCTGTCTCTCTGTACAGACACCTCAATGCATGTAAGGTAACATCAACACTTAGCCTGTCTCTCAGTACAGACACCTCAAAGCACTGTATACCGCCACAGCAAAGAGAGGTTAGTAAGTAAAGGCTACTTAAAACCCAAACCATCCCTCCCCTTCTCAACCCTCTTTAACCCACACACACACACACACACACACACACAGAGGACACACATACAAATGCCGCCGCATAAACAAACAGTCTAACTAACAACCCCCCCAAAAATACAAACACCCCTGTTAAATCAACCCCCATAAACACACACACAATCACTCACGCACGCATGCACACACGCACGCGCGTACACACACACACACACAAGCACACTCACACACACCAGTGACCTCCAGCTATAAGAGTCCGTTTGACAAGCTGTGTTTACCCTGTCAGTGTAAATCTAACTCCAGTTGCGTATGTACATGTTTCAGCCTGTTTCTCAGACAGAAGTGGTGAGCCATGCCGCCACTGAACAAGACACATAAATCTCCAAATCAACACCCTCACACACTCTCAAGCACACACATCCACACAATCTCTCTCTTGGTACGGACATATGCATGCACATACACTCCATGATAAACACATACACGTATACACCCATGCATCCAAACTCTTATCCGGTCTCATCCGGTCTTGAACTAATTTCAGCTTCTCATTACTCTCCAGCGAAGGTTTCTCTGCAGGCTACTGTCCCTGCCCTGTTGGAGCTCATCCATCTGGAAAATCTCTCTCTCTGTGTGTGTGAGTGCTTGCAGTATGAAAATGTATGCACTCACTAACTGTAAGTCGCTCTGGATAAGAGCGTCTGCTAAATGACTAAAATGTAAATGTAAATGTGTGTGTGTGACTGTGTGTGAAATTATTGTGTAACCAAACTAAGATGAGAGAACACCACATGGCATCATATCAATCAATCAGGAAAAAATAAAACAACTATTATGGGCTCTCTATCCCACCATGTTGTAGGACTGTTGACGGTTCCATTCAACTGATACAGTCCTCCTGTCACCCTCCAAAGAGACCCTGCAGTCTTATTAAACAAAACCACCTAGCACTGGAAATACACTGACTGCACAGATCTGCGGGTCTAGGAAAGCTAGGAAATGGGAGGAGGGAGGCCGAGCAAATGTGCAGTTAGTCCGAACACAGGAGCCCTTGTGTGGCTTGTGGCCTGTAACGACCCCGACATCACGGAGCTATGGGCTCTGATTACAGGGCACTGAGCTCCAAAGCCGGTCACACTGAAATTTTTACTGGAGATGTGAAATTATCTAGGCTATTGACAACTTCGATGTGATTTGCTACTGTTTGTATGCTGACTGAAATCATAGACCATTAACTAGGTGAAGATTAGTTACATTTTGGCACGTTTTACGCACATATCCCCTTGTTAAACGAATGGACGACTGTTAAACTCATTACCCACTGGGCACACACTGGTTGAATCAATGTTGTTTCCACGACATTTCAATTGACGTCTGTCCCCAGTGGGATAGCGAAGAATAGTTACTTTGGATGGCAAAATAACTTGAACAAAGGACTTCAATTGATAAAAATAAAAATAAAATAAAAAATATATATATATATATACAAGCTATGGCACGAAGGTAAGCTATGGCACAACGTACAGAATGCTGGCTTTAGTGTCTCTCATGAATTCTGCCGGAGACGTCCGACAGATTCGCACTGCATCCCCCCCCCTTTTACCCCAGCCTCACCCCCCTCCACGTAAACATAAAATGTGGCTCACCAAAAAGTCGCGGTGGGACATAGGCTAACCGATAATGAATGCGTAATAACAGAACAAATTGCAACAACCGCTACCTAAGTTATGCAAACATCTAAAAACGTTACATTTGTTTGAGAAATTAAAGTTGTCCATTTGGACGTTGTCCATTTGGACACTCGTCGGTTAACTAAATCCCTCTCTGACCCGCGGGATGGATAAATATTAGCCATTCCTTACCTTCATAGGCTAAACTGAAGAAGAGCTGGAGAAACACGAACAGAGACACTACCAGCCAGGTGTCCATATTCACGCGCGGGACACTCTTCAACATCTTTGTAAAGTACAGGAAAACTTCCAAGGCATTCCAACTTTCCAAAGACCCGCCTCCTGCTCCAGAAACACGAGAGGATACTCCACCAGGATCCTAATAGAATCTGGCCTGAGCCACTGCGCGCGCGCACGCGTCACAGCTGAGTGCGCTGAATTAAACATTGCAAACCACTCAAACAAATTATACTAGACGTTTTAACCTGAAACAAAGTGACTTTGTTTTCATACAATAGCTTACGGATTTAGGTCTAGTTGCCACTTGCCAATGCTGCTGGGGCAATACATTCCCCAAGAACAAATCTAAAAGCACAACCAAATAAAGGCATCTCAAACACCAAAGTGATACATCATTGCTGGACACACACACACACAGACAGAGAGAGAGAGAGAGAGAGAGAGAGAGAGAGAGAGAGAGAGAGAGAGAGAGAGAGAGAGAGAGAGAGAGAGAGAGAGAGATCTCACACAGACACATGAGTGGTGAGAGAAAGTATACAGCTGATGAAAGACACTCCACCACCACATGACACACGGACATGCTTGTGCACTCTCACACTCACACACAGCTTTGGCTGCCTGCCTGACAGTTCTCCTCTCTGGTCTCTTTAGGGGCGAGTCTCCACATGAAGGTGTTAAAGTGCTCCTTGTCTTCACAGGAAACAGGAGAGGGGAGTGTGAGCCAAACACAGCTTCTGTGCAGCAGGCTCTCAGGATCTATAATAACATTAACACCAGGCTGAACTAGGCTGAAACACGGCCAAAACTGCATATGTGTGTGTGTGTGTGTGTGTGTGTGCGTGTGACACGTGTTTGTTTCTCCTACATGTACTGCAGAAATTGATGTTTTAGATACCCTATCACCTAGGTATAGAGACAGAACAATCATATTTAACTATGTCTACTAGATGTACATTATAAAGTACTTTAGAAAAACAGTCTTTACTCCTGACAGTCCTGTGAAGTTCTCAATTTCTCTTTATTTAATACAAATATCTGTATATTACAATTCAGTACAGTATAGTGCATGAGTACACTCAGTTCAGTACATTACAGTAGAGTGCAGTACACATACTGTGTAAATTGTATGCAGTAATTGATTAAATTCAAGGATTTTACGTAGGGTCGTGCTGTATATTGAGAACCTTTATTTAAAATATGGTGGAATGTTGTGTGTGCACATGTATTGGCAATGGAGTTAGTCTAAGAATTACACTTGAGATGAGATCTAAGAAATATTTAAGAATATACTATTGACATCTGCTTGACCCTGTTTGCGTCAGGTAGGCTAAATTGTAGTTGATTCCATAAGATGTTACCTCTAATACCTCTCGATCTATGCCATAGTTCATATACTGTATATAATCTTTCCAACAGACAAATCAAAACTGGGTGAACAAGAACAAACTATGTATTCATGAGAAAAAAGGGGGACAGTTTGTGCAAAGAAAGCTCTCAATAAATAAACAAATACATGAATATAATAAATAATAATTTTCAGTCCAACCTGGCCTTTTATGTTCAGGACTGTGGATAAGTGTCATAATAGAAAGTACAAGCACACATCCACAATGAAGTTCTGAAACACCCATATTGATGTCCAGTATAGTTCACTTCAGCTCCAGGTACTGGGGTAAGACATTGTTCCAGAACTGTTGAGATTCTTGGGTTGTCTTTTTTCCCCCTGTGGTCCTCTGTTTGGTACGGGCCGGTGGTTTGAGTTTCTCCCTTGGGGGCTCTTCCTTCCCTTTCCTGCTGGGGGGAGCTGCTTTAAGGGGTACACTCTGTGATCCTTTCTTTTTCCCTTTTGCTGATTTTATCTCTTCTTCCTCTTCCTCTTCTTCTTCTTCTTCTTCTTCTTCTTCTTCTTTTTCTTCTTCTTCTTCTTCTTCTTCTTCTTCTTCTTCTTCCTCTTCTTCTTCATCTTCATCTCTCTCCTCCTCTTCCTGTCCTTTCCCTTCTTTCTCCTCTTTTTCTTCCTCTTCCACAACTTCTTTTTCTTTCATACCTTTCTCCTCCTTTTCTTCCTCCTCTTCCTCTTCTTCTCCTTCCTGCTCACCTTCCTCCTCTCCCGCTCCCGTTTCCTCCTCATCCATCTCCCCTTTCTGTTCACATGCACCCTCTTCTTCCTCTTCTTGTTCCACCTCCCCATCACTTGTCTTCTTTTCTTTCCCTTCTTTTTTATCTCCCTTCTCCTCCCCCTCTTCTCCACCCTCCTCTTCCTCTCCATCTTTTTCTTCCTCCTTCTCGTTTTCCTTTTCTTGCCTCTCCCTTTCCTCTTCTTGTTTATTTGATGCCTCATCTCTCTCTTCATGCACTCCTCTTTCCTCTTTCTCATCTTCCTGTTTTTCACCATCCCCCTCTCCTTCATTTTCACTCTCATCCTCTTCTTTCTCTTCATTATTCTCTTCTCTTTCTTCTGTATTCTCATCCTTTCCCTCTCCCGGATCTTCTCTATCCTTCATTTCCTCTTCTTCCTCCTCCCCTTCACCCTCTTCCTCTCCTTCTCCTTCTCCTTCATCCTCCCCCTCTCCTTGCTGTCTTTCTTCTTCCTCCTCTCCCTCTTCCCCTTCCTCTCCTTCATTTTCTCCCTCTGCTTCTTTGTCCCCCTCTTCTTCATCTTCTTCTTCCTCCCCTTCCTCACCTTTTCCACCTTCAACCTCTTCCTCTCCCCTGGCCTCTTTCTCATCATCTTCCCGTCCCTCCTCACCCTCCTCGACTTCGTTGTTCTCATCTCCTTCAGCTTTCTTTTCATCCTCTTCTTCCTCACCCTCAACTGCTTCCTCTTTCTCCTCTCCTGCATCATTCTCATCTTCTCCACTTTCTTCATCCTTTTCCTCATTGTCATCCTCTTCTTCTTCCTCCTCCTCACTTACAACTGCCTCCTCTCCCTCCTCCTCCTTTTCTTCACTTTCACTACCTTCCTTATCCTCTCCCTCTCCTTCCTCCTCTGCTCCACTCTCTTCCTCTTCTTGGTTCTCTCCTTCCTCCTCTGCTGACTCAGTAGCTTTACTTTCTTCACTTTCTGCTTCTTCTGCTTGTTCATCTTCCTTCTCTTCTGCTGATCCCTCACTCTTGCTCTCAGCCTCATTTCCTGATTCATCACCACTCTCCTCCTTTTCATACTCACTCGCATTGCTCTCCTCCTCTTCCTCTTTTTTTTCATCCCAACTCTCTTCATCACTGGACTCCTCTTCAGTCTTCTCCTCCTCCTCCCCCTCTCCACTTGTCCCAGAACCACTTTCGCCCTCTTCTCCTTCTCCTTCCCCCTCACTCTCTTCAATCTTCTCTTCTCCTTCCTCCTCTTCTCCAACTGACGCATAATCACTCTCTCCTTCTGACCCCTCACTCTGTTCAATCTTCTCCTCTCCCTCCTCCTCTAGGCTTGCCTCAGAATCACTCTCTTTGCTCTCCTCCCCATCACCTGTCCCCTCACTATCACCCTTCTCCTCTTCCTCTTCCCCCTGTACTGTGCCCTCATCACTCTTCTCTTCTTCCTCCTCCCCCTGTACTGTGCCCTCATCACTCTTCTCTTCTTCCTCCTCCCCCTGTACTGTGCCCTCATCACTTTTCTCTTCTTCCTCCTCCCCCTTTATTGTCGCATCACTATTACTCTTCTCGTCTTCCTCCTCCCCCTCTCCTGTCCCCTTACTCTCACACTTCTCGTCTTCCTCCTCCCCCTCTCCTGTCTCCTCACTCTCACACCTCTCATCTTCTTCCTCCCCCTCTCCTGTCTCCTCACTCTCACACCTCTCATCTTCCTCCTCCCCCTCTCCTGTCTCCTCACTCTCACACCTCTCATCTTCCTCCTCCCCCTCTCCTGTCCCTACACCATCCCCCTTTTCTTCTTCTTCCGCCTCCGTGCCCTCGCTCTCTTCACTCTTTTCTTCTCTATCCCCCATTCCCTCTCCACTGGCCACAGTATCACTGTCTTCACTGTTCTCTTCCAGACCCTCACCACTTCTGCCATCCTCTTTTTCCTCTTGTTGGGTGCTCTCCATTTCTGTCCCATCTCCTTGTCGCTTTGTGGAATCTTTATCTTCATCATCCTCAGCTCCTGACCTTTCACTACTAGAGTTCTCATCGTCATCGACTTCGGCCTGACCTCCTGACCATGTTGAAGAAGAGGGTGATGTGGAGGAAGGCTGGGTGATGGCGCTCTGTTTGGTGAACCTCTCTACCCGGCTGGACCGCTGAGGAGGCATAGAGTTGGCTATGCCACTCTCAGACTGAAAACCCCTCACACTCATCACCGCCTCACTCAGGACCCCCATGGCTGCCCCCGCCATCCCCACATCTGGAAGGAGAGAGGCTGCATCGCTGAGAAATCCTCCCCAGCTAGTCTCCCCCTCCTGGGAATCACCAAAGGCATCTTCCCCTGGGACCTCCACTCTATCCCTGACCTGAGAGACAACCAGTGACTTCGTTGACTTCTTATCTCCAGCATTTTGAGGTAGTGCATCTGATAATGACAGTGATGTGATTGGTGATTCGGCCTTTGAGGTAGGTTCTACTAAGACTGGTTGGCTGGAAACCTCTGTCGGCTTGCTTTTCAGTTTCACTGGGGCTCCCTTCAACTCAGTCAGTTTAGTTTCAACATCTAAAGATTTGGGCACATATTTTGTGTTGGTGGGTGCACTTTCTGTTTCTGTGACTTTGGCTTTATCTTTAACTGCCATTTTGTTCCCCTCTGTTGTCCCTGACTCTTTGAAAGTAATAGACTCTTCCATCTTCTCTTCATTCACCTCTTTTGCCTTATTTTTTCCCTTTATTGGAGTGCTTTTACCTTCAGATGGTTTGTTATCATCTACAATCTTCTTGGGAATGCTCTTTACTTTCAAAGGAGTGCTTTCAGCAATAGCCTTAATTGGAATTGGTTCCTTTTCCACAGGTTTACCTTTAACTTTGACTGGAGTGGACATGACCTCTTGAAGTGGTTTATTTTGAACTTCAATTGTTTTAGTATCTTCCTCTGCAATTTTAGATTTATTGTCTTTGGACTCCAAACTTTTAGTTTTGATCAGAGTGCAGGTCGCCTCAACCTCCTTACCTTGAACTTTTACAGGGCCTTTACCTTTCATCTCTGTACCTTTCTTCACCTCAGACAGCTTGCTTTGACCATGCTTTGGAGTGCTGGGTTTAGATTCAGACAGTTTGCTTTGACCATGCTTTGGAGTGCTGGGTTTAGATTCAGACAGCTTGCTTTGACCATGCTTTGGAGTGCTGGGTTTAGATTCAGACAGTTTGCTTTGACCATGCTTTGGAGTGCTGGGTTTAGATTCAGACAGTTTGCTTTGACCATGCTTTGGAGTGCTGGGTTTAGATTCAGACAGTTTGCTTTGACCATGCTTTGGAGTGCTGGATTTAGATTCAGACAGTTTGCTTTGACCATGCTTTGGAGTACTGGGTTTAGATTCAGACAGTTTGCTTTGACCATGCTTTGGAGTGCTGGGTTTAGATTCAGACAGTTTGCTTTGACCATTCTTTGGAGTACTGGGTTTAGATTCAGACAGTTTGCTTTGACCATTCTTTGGAGTACTGGGTTTAGACACGGATATCTGGATCTGACTGTGTTTAGGAGTGCTAGGTTTCGATACGGATAACTTGCTTTGTTTCTTTGCAGGTGAACTTGGCTTAGACCCTGCTTTACCTGTGCTTTGCAGATTACTACCCGTCAGTTTACTGGTGTTCGCTTTAGGGCCAGCCTTTCCTGTTGTCAAAGCGATGTTCTCCTTGCCCCTGGCTGGGGTCTGAGGGGTCTTTAAGCATTTGGGGCTCTTTGGGGGCGTGGCCTCTGCCTTTAACAAACTCCAGCTGGAGCCTCTCAGGAGCTCGGTGGGAAGGGCCTTATGGGAAAGTAGCTGCGCCTTCCTGTTGGCCGGGGCTTGTTCAACCTCCATTTCTGCCTCCTTAACAGCTCTCCTCAGAGCCCGACCCTTTTTATGTCCCTGGAGAGATAGAGAAAGAGTGAAGGAGACAGACAGAGAAAGACAGAGGAAGAAAGAGAAAGACATAAAGTGATATAAAAGTAAGAGAGCAAAGGAAGAATGAGAGAAAGGAGGGTAAGTTTTACAAACAGAGAATATTCAGAGTAGAGAAAAAGAGATAAGGATTTGAAACATAAAGAGAAGACAGTAAAGTGTAAAGCAGAATAAAGTCTCTAAATGTAGAGTGAAATAAGGGAGAAAGACATGGCAGTCCTTATTTCTCCTCCCTTCCAGTAAATACAATAACATACCTTTTCCTTCTGTTCTGCAGATGTAGTCCCAGTCTCATCGCCAGAATCTCCTCCCAATGGTAATGCCTGCCTCAAAGAGAACAGGACACAAGTCTCACAACCAAACTCAACATCTCCTTGAACTATATAGAGATACGGTAATAACCTACATAGAAGTTCTTACAATGAAACAACTATAAAGGGTTACAACACAAAAGCCAGAATCTTCTTTCCATCAGGAATGTAAACAAAGTGTGTGTAGTCAGCTTTCCCGCAGGCAAGCATGAGCCTACAAAACCGTATAACAGACTCAAAACTATAGGCCCTTAGGAAGAACTAAGACGAATGGCGATTCAATACGTCTATTTTTTCCCCATCTCTGCTGGAAATAAATGATAATCTGAGTTAATGAGAGGGTGCTCATTGCCATGGCAACCTTTATTAGAAGCTTTTCCATCCAATTCATTAACACATGCACCTTCATCAACGTGTGCCAAACTCATCTATCTCATAACTCCTCTTACACAACGGGTGGGTTTTATCCTGAATGCTGATTGGTTAAAAGCACATTCCAGCCGGTGTCTATTCCACAAGTTACCATCGGCTAAATCTATTATGTTAAAATGCCTATTTACTCTGTTCCATCTGACTGCGCAATCCACTGTCTCATCAGCCTAGCCAAGCACTTTATAAACTTGATCTCCACTATAAAAAGCATCTAGACATTATCTTTTAGACTAACATTTAGTTTTCAACAGCGAAGATTTGTATAAACCTTGCTGTCTGTCTCTCCGACATTTGCAACATTGTTTCAATATTCAAATTTGATCTCCAGCTGTCCCATAGTAATGAACGTATAGGGGTCGGGAGTTGGGACGAGACAGACAGGCAGGCAGCGTTTCTCAGCCAGTCGAAATCATGAATCAGCTGGCATCATTTTTATGGATATATACAAAGAAATGTAAATTGAAAAAAGGTAAAACGAAACGTGCAGCTAGTTTGCAGTCTTTCCAGCTTCAGTTTGAAATGATTGTGTTAGCTGTTTTGTTGGCTAGCTCCTCTGAACAACAGTGCCCTGACGAGACAGCACATTTTCTATGCCAGGTGAAATCGTGCCTCATTAGCACATTGTTATGGATGTATCAAAATAAATGTCACTAGAAAACAGTTTAAACAAATGCAAATACAGCTACTGTTGTTTTTCTTTTTGACGTTTGACGTGATTGTAAGTTAGCTGTAGTTGGATAGCTAGCAAGCAAGGGATAAGAACGTTGCCAGCCAGTATGGCAATGGAACATTTAGAACTAATGAATGGGTCGCGTCCATTGATACAGAACAAAAAGACTGAACGACTCGGTCGCGTCTCTGGAAACCGAACCAATAGAACGAACGACCAGCTGGCTTGGGTAGCAACCCTAGATTTGTGTCAGGACTATATCTTGTGGAAGGATGAAATAGTGTGAATAAATTAATCAAAATAAAGGTTTTAACGAAAATATGTCAATCATTATTTGAATATGTTTGTAATGCCCTCGAAGCCGGTGTTTGGAGGATATAGTGACACAGGTTACTGGCCCAAGACGAACCCGTGCCAATATATCCTTCTCGGGCATTATCACTTAAATATACTACACCTCAAAGGCTCTCTAGGACTAGATAAAACCTGTACAGTATACACACAGGGTCATAGCACACAAGACACCATAACGGTTCTGTGTAAAAACTAAAGAATTACCTGATGCATGGGAGAGGCAGCACAACAAAACGAAAAGCCTGGTCTTCCCAGCATCATGTGTTTCTCTAGCTTCTGTGGCAGTGTTTGGATGTGTGTAGCTAAATACGCTTCTCATCTGAACACAGGAGACTCCCTCAGTCTCCCTCAGCAGGAGTCATGGAAACATGGAAGTGAGGTGTGTCGACATCCCAGCCACATCAACACTATGGATTAGCTACACATAAGGAGGTGCTGTGTGTGTGTGTATGTGTATACTTGTTGTGTGTGTGTATGTTGATGGGAGGGATGGTGGCAGGGACAGGGGTTAAGCTCAAACACATTTGTTTATTGGCAGGAGCAATCTGTAGCACTGAAGCTGCCTTGAGGATATTTATGACATATTTTCTTGGAAAAGCAAATGAGCGTGAGACAGATACAGAGACAGATGGAGAGATCCCAAACCAAGCTCAATTAAAATGAATGGTTTTGGGTTTCACCCCCCACTGTTCCACCAAATGGAAAATGCCCCCCTATCCCCTATCAAACACACACACTCCACAGTGCGCTGAGCTATGCACATTTTCCTGGAATACTCAAAGACTGCCTGCAAACGCTGTTTCCTGCCTTGGAGCACACAGGCACCAGACCAAAGTAAAGGAGAACAGAGAACCCAGACCAACGTAGAGGAGAACAGAGAACCCAGACCAAAGTAATGAGCCATTATGATCCCAGGCCAAAGACATGGAGGCAACGTACTGTACCTCAGACGAAAGCAAGACAGCATACATACCTACACATAACACATGCTAAAAATTGTAATATTCTATAATAAAGCAATTGTACTCACCAGGTCTGGCAACATGTCATTATTGTCCTCTTCATCCATGTTCTCCTCCATATTCTCAATGAGCATCAGGCTGTCAGGGACTTCTGTCACAGTGTCCTCAATCCTCTCTGTAAACACACATACTGAGAACATGGCTGCACTGGGATAGGTCCAGACCTGGGTTCAAATACTATTTCAAATATCTCAATTACTTTCACATACATTTCAAGTAAGTATTCAGGTATATTTTATTTATAAAATATTAAGATGCATTTGGAAATACACTTGGAAAGTATTTGAAAAACTAAAATACACTGACTCAAATACACTCCCATGCATTTAACCCAGGTATTTGAAAATAGTATTGGAAATAAGTATTTGAACATACTGTCAAATACAATTTCGCAGACTATTTGGTTTTTACAAATAACCATTCAAATTCTAAAATAAAAGTCCGTAAAACTTCAATTAATAGACCAGGCATTTATTTGCTTACAGTTGAAGTCGGAAGTTTACATACACTTAGGTTAGAGTCATTAAAACTCGTTTTTCAACCACTCCACAAATGTCTTGTTACAAGTTTACATACACAAGTTTACATACACTACAGTTGAAGTCGGAAGTTTACATACACCTTAGCCAAATACATTTAAACTCAGTTTTTCACAATTCCTGACATTTAATCCTAGTAAATATTCCCTGTTTTAGGACAGTTAGGATCACAACTTTATTTTAAGAATGTGAAATGTCAGAATAATAGTAGAGTGAATGATTTATTTCAGCTTCTATTTCTTTCATCACGTTCCCAGTGGATCAGAAGTTTACATACACTCAATTAGTATTTGGTAGCATTGCGTTTAAATTGTTTAACTTGGGTCAAACTTTTCGGGTAGCCTTCCACAAACTTCCCACAATAAGTTGGGTGAATTTTGGCCCATTCCTCCTGACAGAGCTGGTGTAACTGAGTCAGGTTTGTAGGCCTCCTTGCTCGCACACGCTTTTTCAGTTCTGCCCACAAATTTTCTATAGGACTGAGGTTAGGGCTTTGTGATGGCCTCTCCAATACCTTGACTTTGTTGTCCTTAAGCCATTTTGAACAACTTTGGAAGTATGCTTGGGGTGATTGACCATTTGGAAGACCCATTTGCGACCAAGCTTTAACTTCCTGACTGATGTCTTGAGATGTTGCTTCAATATATCCACATAATTTTCCTTCCTCATGATGCCATCTATTTTGTGAAGTGCACCAGTCCCTCCTGCAGCAAAGCACCCCCACAGCATGATGCTGCCACCCCCGTGCTTCACGGTTGGGATGGTGTTCTTCGGCTTGCAAGCCATCCCCGTTTTCCTCCAAACATAACGATGGTCATTATGGCCAAACAGTTATATTTCTGTTTCATCAGACCAGAGGACATTTCTCCAAAAAGTACGATCTTTGTCCCCGTGTGCAGTAGCAAACCGTAGTCTGGCTTTTTTATGGCAGTTTTGGAGCAGTGGCTTCTTCCTTGCTGAGCAGCCTTTCAGGTTATGTCGATATAGGACTCGTTTTACTGTGGATATAGATACTTTTGTAGCTGTTTCCTCCAGCATCTTCACAAGGTCCTTTGCTGTTGTGCTGGGATTGATTTGCACTTTTCGCACCAAAGTACGTTAATCTCTAGGAAACAGAACGTGTCTCCTTCCTGAGCTGTATGACGGCTGCGTGGTCCCATGGTGTTTATACTTGCGTACTATTGTTTGTACAGATGAACGTGGTCCCTTCAGGCGTTTGGAAATTGCTCCCAAGGATGAACCAGACTTGTGGAGGTCTACCATTACCAGGTCTTGGCTGATTTCTTTTGATTTTCCCATGATGTCAAGCAAAGAGGCACTGAGTTTGAAGGTAGGCCTTGAAATACATCCTCAGGTACACCTACAATTGACTCAAATGATGTCAGTTAGCCTATCAGAAGCTTCTAAAGCCATGACATCATTTTCTGGAATTTTCCAATCTGTTTAAAGGCACAGTCAACTTCTGACCCACTGGAATTGTGATACAGTGAATTATACGTTAAATAATATATCTGTAAACAATTGTTGGAAAAATTACTTGTGTCATGCACAAAGTAGATGTCCTAACCGACTTTCCAAAACTATAGTTTGTTAACAAGAAATTTGTGGAGTGGTTGAAAAACGAGTTTTAATGACTCCAACCTAAGTGTATGTAAACTTCCGACTTCAACTGTAAGTTGACTGTGCCTTTAAACAGCTTGGAAAATTCCAGAAAATGTTGTCATGGCTTTAGAAGCTTCTGATAGGCTAATTGACATAATTTGAGTCTATTGGAGGTGTACCTGTGGATGTATTTCAAGGCCTACCTTCAAACTCAGTGCCTCTTTGCTTGACATCATGGAAAAATCAAAAGAAATCAGCCAAGACCTCAGAAAATAAATTGTAGACCGTTGTATAAACACAACGGGACCACGCAGCCGTCATACCGCTCAGGAAGGAGACGCGTTCTGTCTCCTAGAGATTAACGTACTTTGGTGCGAAAAGTGCAAATCAATCCCAGAACAACAGCAAAGGACCTTGTGAAGATGCTGGAGGAAACAGCTACAAAAGTATCTATATCCACAGTAAAACGAGTCCTATATCGACATAACCTGAAAGGCCGCTCAGCAAGGAAGAAGCCACTGCTCCAAAACCGCCATAAAAAAGCCAGACTACAGTTTGCAACTGCACATGGGGACAAAGATCGTACTTTTTGGAGAAATGTCCTCTGGTTTGATGAAACAATAATATAACTGTTTGCCCATAATGACCATCGTTATGTTTGGAGGAAAAATGGGGTTGGCTTGCAAGCCGAAGAACACCATCCCAACTGTGAAGCACGGGGGTGGCAGCATCATGCTGTGGGGGTGCTTTGCTGCAGGATGGACTGGTGCACTTCACAAAATAGATGGCATCATGAGGAAGGAAAATTATGTGGATATATTGAAGCAACATCTCAAGACATCAGTCAGGAAGTTAAAGCTTGGTCGCAAATGGGTCTTCTAAATGGACAAATACCCCAAGCATACTTCCAAAGTTGTGGCAAATGGCTTAAGGACAACAAATTCAAGGTATTGGTTTGGCCATCACAAAGCTCTGACCTCAATCCTATAGAAAATGTGTGGGCAGAACTGAAAAAGCGTGTGCGAGCAAGGGGGCCTACAATCCTGACTCAGTTACACCAGCTCTGCAGGAGGAATGTGCCAAAATTCACCCAACTTATTGTGGGAAGCTTGTGGAAGGCTACCCGAAACGTTTGACCCAAGTTAAACAATTTAAAGGCAGCGCTACCAAGTACTAATTGAGTGTATGTAAACTTCTGACACACTGGGAACGTGATGAAAGAAATGAAAGCAGAAATAAATAATTCTCTCTACTATTATTCTGACATTTCACATTCTTAAAATAAAGTGTGGATCCTAACTGACCTAAGACAGGGCATTTTTACTAGGATTAAATGTCAGGAATTGTGAAAAACTGAGTAAAAAATGTATTTGGCTAAGGTGTATGTAAACTTCCGACTTCAACTGTATATCACTGAACACAACAGGCGCTTATTAGAGACAGGCTTCTGTTTGAGCCAGGCATCTACTTCCTTAATGAACACAGCTTTTGCTCATTTGCATAGTTAATTGTTTAATTCCAGCATTCACTTCCAGTATTTAAATGTATTTGAATTAGGCGTTTATTTGCTGAAATGTGTGCCTTTGCCCGGCTATTAAAAGGGACAGGTGGTTATTTGAGACTGTGTTTAATTTACATTTTTATGGGTAATTGTTTTCGGCTGTGTATTTGAAAATACTCAAATACACGGAAAAAGTATTTTTAAATTACCAGATACTCAAATACATGTACTTGAACCCAGGTCTGAATAGGTCATAGAATATGGGCTGCAGTTCTGCTTACTACAGCTTGTGGCTGTATACTGTGGTGAAAAGGAAAGACAGCATCGTAGGATTCGGCTACCTGTCTGTGGTGGGGTGGGACTCCGAGAAGGGCTGGCGTGCCCCTCAGACAGCGTTTTGGGGGACTGGTTATCATCTGTGGGCTTTACAGAGGGGGGTTTAGGGGACATTGAGGTGGTGGGGATGAGTTTATGTGTGGATTTGAAGGACCGTGAAGGGGTAAGGGGTTCTTTAGATGTATATTTGGGTGATTTTGATGGGCTGGGCCTCTTCTTTGGGGAGAACTTGGAGGAGAGTGAAGGGCTAGGAGGGTCTGGGAATATGAACTTGGGTGACAGTGATGGTGTTAATGGGATTTTGGATCTGGATTTAAGGGACAGAGAGGGGCTGGGGGGGTTGTTTGAGGAGGGATTGGAGGACAGTGAGGAGGTGGAGGGGTCTTCAGATGGTGTTCTGGAGATGCAGATATTTCTGGACAGGGGCAGGGAGGCGTTGAGTAAGCCGGACATCAGAGGCGGAAGGTTACGGAACATCTGGCCAAACTGCTCTGGAGAACTCTCCTGAAACACACAACACAGAAAAGTAGATATAACTACTAAATAATGGCTACAGAAGGGCTAAATTGCTCCATCAGACCATAATAATAGTATTAAAGAGTGGTTATTTAGACTGGTACACATAAAGTAGGCTACTGCATATGACCATTACTGAGGTGCAGCAATGTGATGCAACACTGCTCCCTAGTGAAGGCAACCAAACACCACAACTCTGTCAAACCTTGTAATCAACACTTCGGATCTCCTTTCTGGAACTGTCAGATGTTTTGGCAGTGCTCACCCTCTCTCTGCGGCGGGCCCTAGCAGGCAGGGTCCAGAGAGGAGGTGCGGTCTGTGGGTTGGGTATCAGGAGGGAGGGGTCCATCAAGAGCAGCTCAGTGTAGGTCTCCAGAGTCTCCAGAATGGTCTCTGTAACATCCTCCTCCTCTATCACCACTTCCTCATCCTCTGGGGGTCTGGGCATAGCCAGCACCAGCATGTGAGAGCCGCCACATGCCACCTGAACACACATAATTAGCAGGTGCACGAACATAGACAGACACACACAGACACTAATTGACTTACTGACTGGACGCTGTATTTGAGGAAGCGTGGGCACAGTGTTGGTCTGAACTGGTTGGTGAAGTTCTCTTCCCCCAGTCCTAGTTTACCCTGGCGACCGTCCCCAAAGGTGTACAGAATCCCACTGTCTGGAGTGAGAGAGATGGGGTCTCAATGGAACATGCTCAGGCTTCAAATTTCTGAATGACAACTTCTATTCAACAGTGTATACTAGTAGAATAGTATAGAAGCTTGCCTGTGATCACTGCGGTGTGGTTCTCTCCACAGGTTACGTGACTGACTCTGCCATTCCGGAAGTGGTCCAGTGCTTTTGGCAGAGGTGCCTCAAACAGGAAGGTCCCGTGGCCCAGCTGCCCATGCTGCCCCCGCCCAAATGCGTACACATTGTCCTCTGCAACACGGAGAGGAAGAGAGAGGTGTAGAAGAAGATGAAACAGTTACCGGCTAGGAACAATAGACAGACTGTTTTATTTCATTAACAGTACTGTATTAACCCTTTGACGCGTACGATCACATATTTGTGATCATTGTTGAGTGGTCCCTGCAGCGTACCATCGCAAATATGTGATTGGAACAGTAGCAACAGAACGTATGATGCAACAAACGTGTCTAAACAGCATTGTTGTCTGAAAAGCATCGAAACAATGTTTTGTACTGATGGGAAATAAAGGTCTTCACAACTTTATTCCTCAATTTCACCTTTTATTGTAAAAGATAAATGCGAACTTCATCATCCAAACATCACACGGAACACATACACAGCCGAACTCATTCCATATACCAGTCTAAATAACAGGTTGCGCTGACAAAAAACTAAACATAAGTTAGCGTCCTAACTGCTAGACTTGTTTACAATTGTCCACATATCTGGTGAGCACAAGGGAGAAATGTAATATTGTTTACAAAAGAGATGCGTATCAGCTAAGCTAACAGCAGCTAAATTCTTTATGCAGGCAGCCATGTTTGTTTATGCTTGAAAAGTGAAAACTCCCTAATCCCAGAATGCCATTCACTATAAGACGCAAATAAACAAAGTCAAAGTCAAAGATGGCTGCGCCCATTACCTGAAAAATATTAACTTAGTTTGGCCACTTTTCAGCATATTACAAATCTTCAATGTACTTCTTACAGTGTATACAAGAACCGGAGCACCTGACTGACAAGTCGTTTACAGTTTTTGACAAATCAGAAAGCAAATAAAATGTTATCACCTCACAGATCATCAGCCCAAATACAAGCCTACTGCCTAGCCTAACCATAGTGCACAAGCTAAACAGGGATGAAACCATTTTAAGGGGGTTTGTGGGGGGGTTCATTTCATTTGTGGGGAGTTTTCAAGTCCATGGTCGGTAGAAATGGGGGAAGGTATCATGGGGGGATATGATGCAGGAAATATTACTACGATGGGGGATTTATCAATAAATGGGGGGGGTCTGAGCTGGCAACCCTGAGGTACCATAGTTACAATCTGATGCCGCATTCAAAACAACTGGAAATCTCTGACTTCCGACTTCAGTGCGTTCAAGACAACTGGGAACTCCGACAGGGAAAAATATTTTTGAACGGTCATCCAAGTCAGAATTCCAACTCGGGAACACGGGCCTCTTTCTAGAGCTCCAACTTGAAGATCACTGACGTCATGATTTGACCTTGTATTTTTCAGAATTCCCAGTTGTCTTGAAAGCACCATTACATTTACATTTTAGTCATTTAGCAGACGCTCTTATCCAGAGTGACTTACAGTTAGTGCATACATTTATTATTATTTTTATTCATACTGGTCCCCCGTGGGAAACGAACCCACAACCCTGGCGTTGCAAACGCCATGCTCTACCAACTGAGCTACACGGGACTATAAGTCAGTCGAGTGAACTATCCCTTCACCTTGTTTTTTATAACATCTTTGGTCTGACAGACGCTTACGTGACAACCAGAATGCACTGTATGATGTCAACAAACATGGCGCCACACATAGCTGGCAAATAGCTTAGCATTAGCTCATCATAATCATAAGGCTCAGTAAAGCCTCAAACATAAATTGTCCGCAACAGTGAAATGGGCTACTTCTTATGTGAATTAATGAGGAGGCGGAACAGACCTCAATTCAAACTGTTGTTCGAAAATCTAACTTGTTAGAAAATCATTTGATGTTGACAAGTTGAAACATAGTCTATAGATAATTAGCAGGCAGTGTGCCTTGGTTTGAGGGCAGCGTGGGTTAACTGTCCTATTGCGTAACAATCATATCTTGAATCAGTGAGTGCATTCTGACATCACACGCATAAAACAACTCACGCTGGGGCGACTGTTAGAGATATTTGGAACTCACATGTGAAAAGGTTAATAGTAATAGTATTTCACAGAGGTATTTACTTGTGAGTGCCACTGTGTGCTCCCCTCCACAGGACACTTGGATGACCGGGTCCTGGATGCCTTCCACCCTCTGAGGGACTCTGTGATTGGCTAGCTGGTCTGGGAATAGACCCAGCCTTCCGTTCCCACTCTCCCCAAACGTGTAGAGGTCCCCATCCACTGGAACAAGCCCAAAACAACAACAATAACCCAGCCGCGTTACTATATAACAACAGGATGTGGTATGCATAAGGTTAAGCTCCCCAATATAAAATAACCCTGCATGTGTGAGTGTATTACCTGTGACGAACGCTGAGTGGTGGTATCCACAAGACACCCAGGCCACTGGCTGTCCCACCATCATGTCTCTGGGCTCTGAGGCGTAGCTCTCTGTCCCCAGACCGATCTGGCCCACAGAGTTATCACCCCACATGAACAGCCTACCCTCCTCTAACAACACAGCACACAGACGGCATGTGAAAGATCAGAAACGCACACAGACTGACAGAGAAGAAAGAAAGAAAGAAAGAAAGAAAGAAAGAAAGAAAGAAAGAAAGAAAGAAAGAAAGAAAGAAAGAAAGAAAGAAAGAAAGACAGACAGACAGACAGACAGACAGACAGACAGACAGACAGACAGATAGATAGATAGATAGATGATAGATAGATAGACAAACACACTGCTCTACACTGATGATGCAAGTAAACAACCCATCTGTCGTCATCCTTACCTGTCAGGGCAGCTGAGGTGTTGCAGCCAGCAGCAAGCATTTTGATTGGTGCGTGGTCAGAGAAAGGATGAAGCAGGTGGAAGGTGTTTGTGTCATCACAGTGTCCCAAACCAAGCTGCCCCTCCTGGTTACTGCCAGCACCATAAACACGCCCACTCCCTGACAACCATGGGGGAAAGAATCTTAAGTAATGATAATGGCAGATATTCAATCCTAACATCCTCTAAAGTAATGCAGAGTAAAATAACATGGTTTTCTTACATGTGCACACTATTGTGTGGTCTCTCCCACATGATGCAAACTTCACTTTTTCAGACTTCAATGCTAAAGGAAAAAAACATGTTTTAACATTACAAAACGTAGTAAAACTTAAGACAAAACATGAGTCAAACATAATCCTAGTACATGATGGACTGACTGACCTTTCACAGTGGTGGGCTTGTTGATGTTGACGTTGATCTTTGACCCCAGTCCTAGCTGACCCCAGGTATTATTTCCAAACATGAACAGCCTGCCATGGCCTACAGGTAGGAGAAGAGGCATTACACTTATATTTCATAAACTGCTAATAAAACTCTTAATTATACTGTTCTTATGCTTTTTTAAATGTATTAATTTTTATTTGAATGCCTAAATACTATAGATGTCTTGAAGTATAATGCATTTTGTTCATTACACTAACTAATTACAGGTCCAATATAGCATCAATAAACTGTTAATAACTATTTATAATAACTTACAGACATTTTATAAACAACAAACTGATAATTTATGGTTTTATACAGTGTCTCCAAGTCACCCAATCACACGGGAGAGAGTTGGCTACAAATTGAGTACCTGTTATGACAGCGGTGTGATCACCCCCACATGAGATTTCTTCTGGATGGTCATTCTTCAGCCAGAATTTACTGGGCACATTATCAGCAAACTTGCTCTTCCCAAAAGTGAAGACTGCTCCTGTTTCTGTTAGGGTAAAAAAAAATAACTTTCAGACAGGAGAGAAACTATGACAGTTCATTGGAGTTTGGGGATATAACAGGTCTAATATAGCCTACAATGTTCGGTTGTACTAAAATGACCCTGATTTCACTAGGCTAACGTTACAGGAGTAGGTAATTCCTAATGCTAAGCGGTTGTCAGCAACCTATTTAAGCTGCTGCAAGTCAGAAATAGCAGCAGGTTAGCGAATGGTCACCACCACACATTACTGGTGCTATACTATCTAAATAACAGCCATATGCTTTTAAAAAAGCGAGTTACAGACACTTGACAGTTTTTTTTTTACCAGGTATATCAGCCTCCGTCTGGCGGGTCATCTCTCCCCTGTCTTCGGAACACCTCACCCATGAATGTGACGTTCTTCGGCCGAAATAACCTTCTTCTTCTATGGTATTATGGCAGTCCGCAAACAAGCGTTAGAGATGCATGCCGCCACCTACTGTACGGGTGGTAAACTATGGAAAAAATATCCACTGTAGGAAGGGGGGAAAAACCGATATCTTACAAAGTACAAAAATGGACATAATAAATCAACCATGGGCGGTGTGTTCAATAGGGCGATATGGGCGACGCACTGCCAAACGGGAAAAGGAAGGGATTTTTTTTCTAATCAATTATATCATGGCAACAGTAGTTCAGTGTTCACGTCTGATCTGCCAGCCACTAAATGTCCAATCAGGCTAAAGTCGTGCTTCAAATGTCCCCGCCCGTTTTGGGGCGATTTCAGTCAGGTTGAAAATCGCCCAGAAGTCTCTCATAGCCTCTAATGTAAAAAATTTTTTTTTCAAATTTCTGAGCTTTCAATACATTCTCTATGGGTGTCTGAGGGCTTGCACTTACGCGCTTTCGTCATACGTAACGTAACGTAACCATGAACGGCAGACAGCAACGCTTGGACAGCGACTGGTGTAACCGACATGCACCATCTTTCAGAAAAGATTAAGAAAAATGAGCTGTCAAAGACCCACATTGATAGCTGTTTGAGATTGTCTGCTTTGGTGAGAGTGAATATTGCCACTCAACTGGATGAGGGATACAGGCTAGCTGTCCGCCGCCACAACGATGAGGTTAGCAACAGCAGAGTCGTGAACACTGTCTACGAGAATCGAGACGACCTCATAGAATGTTTTGAAGCCATCCGGACGGGTTCATTGGGTTCATTTGACCAGCCCACCGTACCAGAAGCTACAGAATAAGGACATCGATGCTGTCTTTATCAAACGTGCCCTCGACAGCTTCGCAAGCAGTGTGCAGGCCATAAGGTATGATAAAGATTAAACAATATCATTCGATCTTTCTCAAAGCAGAGCTTTATTTGAAAATGTATGCATGAAAGGAGACTGCATTTGTGTTTGAAATTACATTATTGTCATTATATATGGCCAGTGGTGTAATCTATCTTATTTTATATACTATGTGTACTGTACAGTGGTGCTCATAAGTGTATGAACACATTCTAAAGCTGACTAAAAAGAGGAATAAAAAAATAAAAAAATCTGTTCATGTTCATTTTTACAAATCTATACAATTGGCCAGAATATGGTTGTTCATATTTACAAATCTATACAATTGGCCAGAATATGGTTGTTCATTTTTACAAAGCCATACATATTGTTTATGCAGTGTTGAGGAATGTGAAAGAACACCCTTGATTATTTTTACTGTGATAACTTATTTTGCTTTTGTAAGCCAACACTTTTGAGATCAGTCAATAAATGCTTCTGGTATTGACTTATATGCTGCCCCTGTCTTCATGTTGTTGCTGGACATATCTTTTTAAAAATGTGTGTAGGTCACCTAAATCATCAGAAAAATTGCCCCTCCTTAGAATTTTTTCAGGAGCTGCCACTGAAATCAACAACCCACTCCTTCAGTCAAATTCCAATTCAAGTCACATCCCTACACAGGCTCAGGGGCCTGTGAGGGCGGAACATCCTTTGACAGGATTTCTTGCAATGTCTCGGCTATGAACTCACTGTGTCCCAAAAAGTCCCATACAGCCCTTATTCTCTCCACCTCTCTCTCCTTCACCCTAACAGGGCAATCTGGGGACTCGGGTACATGCTCGCCACCACAGATGCAGCATATAACCTCAGCTGGCATACAATATTCTTCCAGTCTGCATACACTTGATACATGCCCAAATATTTTGCATTCATAACACTGGAGGGGCTTGTGCACAAAAGCTCTTACAGGGTATCTCATAAAGCCTAGTTTTACATGAGAAGGGAGCGACTCATCAACAACAATAATATGGACGAAGTGGATTTCCTTACTCCTTCCACCATACATGCGCACCAATAACTTCCTCTACTTCCTCAGGTATATCATCTGTATCCACTTCATGCGTAACCCCAGAAATAACTCCCTTGACTAAAGCCCAGAATCCATACAGATTCCATTCAAAAAAAAAATTGAGGCGCAAAGCATGCTTCTTCTGTTCCACGGACACACCAGAAATCAGAATAAGACCAGCTCTTGTGACTCTCACCGACGCCACCTCACCATGATACTCCTCGTGACTTCAAATGGATCCCCTAGGTAACATTGATCCAAAACTCTCACTCCGACTATAAACAAATCTAGGGATTTCTTAGTTTCCATCACAACTTTACTTATTTTGTTTGCTTTCTTTTTCTCAACAAGCCCACTCGTTCCCACTCGCTGTACTCTCATCTTCAGCCGACCCACCAACAGTTTTGAACAGAACATCCGTTTCCGCCTTCTTCTTCTTCAATGAGGTTTAATGGCGGTTGGCATCCAATAAATGTTGCATTACAGCCACCTACTAGACTGGACTATAACTCCCTTATACTTTGCTTTATTTTTGCTTTCTTTTTTTTATTAATTAACAAATAACCTACCATCTAACACTACACTCACAAAAAAAAACTCCACTATTTAGTCCTACTTCAGGCCAACAGCCTGAAAGGATGGGACACCACCACTTAACACACCCTGTAACTCTTCTGACGCCGAGTTTTCTGCGATTTACATTCCTTCCCTGCAGTACAGTTGAAAACCTTTGCTATAAATCCAATCTTACTGAAACATATATCACTTGTTGGCCTATACCTCTTTACATTTTAGTCATTTAGCAGACACTCTTATCCAGAGCGACTTACAGTTAGTGAGTGCATACATTTTTCATACTGGCCCCCCCGTGGGAATCGAACCCATAACCCTGTCATTGCAAGCGACATGCTCTACCAACTGAGCTACAGGAGGCCCTCTTGTGATGAGGTGTGAATGACGGAATCAGGCGCAGGAGGTAAAACACCGAAATCAAGAGTTTATTCAGTGTACAATAATGTAGTGCATATAGCGACAGAACGAAACTAGCACAAGGGAAAATCAACCTTGGCTGCATACAAGTAAAGAGTAGCTCAACCAAGCTACTCACTCTCACAACGAACAATCACTCACAAAGGACAAGGGGGCAGAGGGAACACTTATACACAGACTAATGAGGGAATGAGTACCAGGTGTGTGTGATTGACAAGACAAGACAAGACAAGACAAGACAAGACAAGACAAGACAAGACAAGACAAGACAAGACAAGACAAGACAAGACAAGACAAGACAAGACAAGACAAGACAAGACAAGACAAGACAAGACAAGACAAGACAAGACAAGACAAATGGAGTGATGATAAATGGAGCAGTAGTGGCAAGTAAGCCGGTGACGACGAACGCCGAAACCTGCCCGAGCAAGGAGGAGGGGCAGCCTTGGCTGAATTCGTGACACCTCTGTACTGGTACAGATCTACTACTCACACCACTCCTCTCAGGATCCCTCCCCCTTGACCCATCTTCCTCTACTTTCTTTACTGCCTCAGTATTTGATAACTTCTGCACTACTCTAACCCTGGAAACCTCCACCTGCCTCTCTCGCAGCAGACATTTCTGATCCCCAGCCCCATGGGCACCCCTACAATTGCGATGAGCCAAGAAAGCGTTATTGTTATTTTATTGTGTTACTTTTATTATTTTTGACTGTAGTTTATTTGGTAAATATTTTCTTAACTCTTTCTTGAACTGCATTGTTGGTTAAGGGCTTGCAAGTAAACATTTCACGGTAAGGTCTAAACTTGTTGTATTCGGCGCATGTGACAAATAAAGTTTGATTTGATTTGGTAGAAGATGGATAGAGATGGATTTTTTACCCTTTGGCAAAGTTTTTTAAAATCGCGTTGTTTAGAAGGAGTGCAAAGGCGAATTGAGTTATTGCACACACGCACATCACAAGGTAGGCGTTCCCTGCGGACGGGCGTGTGAGGGGACTAGACGGCAACCTCTGACTGAAACAGGGTAGGTATTAGTTGCAGGTACACACCACTTGTGTAAGGAATCATTAAAGTATTATTTTTCGTTGGTGTAGCCTATTGACCTAAAATCATCAGTAGTCGAAAAAGAGAAGTGTTGATAAAACAAGTTTACTGGAGAACGGAGACCAAGTAGAGACTTTCGGACAAGGTGGATGATTGTATAATATAAGGCAGTTTATTCAGAGGTAAAGATATCTGAAAATAGCGTGCACGGACGCGTTCGTCAACCTCGTAGGGAGATATCTGAGAGCGCGCCCCTAACCATTGTGTGCTGACATTTTATACAATAAAATAAAGTAGGTTGATTCTAGTAGTTCCGATCTCCCCATTGGTCCTGATGAGTTGGTCGAGGTCATCTCCATTTCATAGGCTCTGAGTCAGGTTCTCCGTCTCCGGCCTAAGAGAAGGGGTTTTTTGTGTGTGTGTGCTTAACAATGATGATGTGTGTGTATGTGTGTGTATGTGTGTGTATGTGTGTGTATGTGTGTGAGTGTGTGTATGTGTGTAAGTGTGTGTGTATGTGTGTGTGTATGTGTGTGTATGTGTGTGTGTGCGTGTGTGTGTATGTGTGTAAGTGTGTGTGTATGTGTGTGTGTATGTGTGTGTGTGTATGTGTGTGTGTGTCCTCAGGAGATATCTCGTGAGTTTTGGGAGGACTTGAGAGACTTATGGCCTGGGTTTTGCTCATGGCCACCTGCTGATAAGGCAGACAGGATACAGTCTTTGTGCATTGTATTAAGTCCCAAGGCCCCCAACACAAGATGGGTTATGCACAAGATTTTTAGTCAGACCAAGCTTTAACATAATATATTTACCACGACAAATCCCTCTCTTCACGTCTCCCCAGAGACGTGACCAAGTAACAGTAGAGAAGGAAAACTTAAGACGTGACACAAGCTAACAGTGTAATTGGCAAAATAGGGAAAACTTTATCAGAAGATAAAGTTTTAATTCCCCCTCTTCACGTCTCACAAGAGACGTGACATAA